CCTAGTTATAACACGTTTCTAAATTTGTTGATAGTATGCAAAGTTTTGTTATTTTTACCTATAAAATGGTATTTTGGATGACTAAAGGCCAATTTAAAAGGCCTAGTTGGGAAAAAAACATAGTCTTTTTAATATTTGATAAAACTACCTATTTTAATGAAGTGATAAACAACTAAACGTCAAAAACCATTTTATTCCTGTTTCATAGATACTGCCGATACCACCAAGTACCTGGGGTTAACATCTCTAGTGACCTTTCCTTGAATACTCACATTCACATTCAAGGCCACCAGGACTGCAGGTATCCTTTTAATATTTGATAAAACTATCTATTTTAATGAAGTGATAAACAAATAAACGTCAAAAACCATTTTATTCCTGTTTCATATAGATACTGCCGATACCACCAAGTACCTGGGGTTAACATCTCTAGTGACCTTTCCTGGAATACTCACATTCACATTCAAGGCCACCAGGACTGCAGGTATCCTTTTAATATTTGATAAAACTATCTATTTTAATGAAGTGATAAACAAATAAACGTCAAAAACCATTTTATTCCTGTTTCATATAGATACTGCCGATACCACCAAGTACCTGGGGTTAACATCTCTAGTGACCTTTCCTTGAATACTCACATTCACATTCAAGGCCACCAGGACTGCAGGTATCTTGGGGTGCAATCTCAGGGCTAGACTAACAACTAGTCTCTGAAATGAACATATTTTACTGAAAAAAGTTCATAGTAAAAAAAAAAATATATAATGAAAAGGAGCCCTGAGACTTTCTTCCAACAACTAGTCTCTGAAATGAACATATTTTACTGAAAAAAGTTCATAGTAAAAAAATATATATATAATGAAAAGGAGCCCTGAGACTTTCTTCCAACAACTAGTCTCTGAAATGAACATATTTTACTGAAAAAAGTTCATAGTAAAAAAATATATATACAATGAAAAGGAGCCCTGAGACTTTCTTCATTTTCAGAAGCTGAGGAAATCTAGACTTGCCACATTTTCTCGACTTGCGTGGGATTTCTTGGATATATTTGCTTCAGGGTCTGTACGACAGACTATCTCAGGGCTTGTCCTGAGCCAGTGAGGGTATGCGCCTATACCACCATAGCCCGCCCTATAGTATGCTTCGACAGCTTAGGATCTCACCTACAGAACTATATCAACATCATGGAGAGAGTACAGAGGCAGGCAGCCAGGTGTATAACTACACTGAGCGTGACCAAGGATACGTCACCGCCATGCTACACCATCTTGGATAGAAAACGCTTCAAACCAGGGGAGCCAGGGCCAGAGCCGCTTTCTTCAAAAAGATTATCAACAGCATCATTAATACTGACCTTCACAATTATACTCAAGAAGTTGATGCGCGCACGAGAGGATGATCCAATAACAACATAGCACAACTAGGATTGCCTCCAGGGCAATACTGGCGGTCTTCAGACTTCCGCCATACACCCCCCGTGGCTACCTTCACTTGTACTGTTTCTTTGGACGCCAGCTGGAGCGTCCATTACAGTGTTTATGAGATGAATTTGGCATTGAGTCAATGCCTCTTACACAAACGGAAAATTCCCAAACTGCAGAAAAACAAACAGGAAGGCACAGTCAAACAAACCAAAGGTATTGAGCAATATATACAGACATATACTAAAGGAGAGATGCAAAAGTCCTTTCTTTCAGGGAGGGAACTATTTCTGTGGCCTTAGTGGGCACTGGAAAAGCAGGACGTCGGCAGTGTTGCTAGATTTTACGACACTTCCTCCAGCTAAAAAATGCGAAATCCTAATGTCCCTCACTGTTTGTGGCGTAATTGTGGCGTAACTATTGACTTTTACATAATAATAATGTGAAGCAAAATTGTTCTACATTTTATTGTCTACAGTTTGGTACCTTCAAACATGAAATCCATTGTGTCTTCGCAGAGCTGTGAACCCTATAAAAATGCGTTTTGCCAAAAATTGACCAACTTCCAAGGACAATAACTCTGACACTATTTAAGATATCGACATGCATTGAACAGCCTAAGTAGTCCGGAGTGTGGGCTTTAAAACGATATATAGAACACTATTGTATTATTTGCCGTTCAGGAGCAGAAGATTGTTAAACACAGGCACCGTCAAAAAGGTGCGGAAATTTGCGAAATCGCGAAGGTTGTCTTTGAGTCGTAATGGTGACGTTATTATTGATTTTTACATAACCATGATGTGAAGCAAAAATGTTTCCCATTCAATTTCCTAGAGGTTGGTACTAGAAAAATGGAATCCATAGATTTTTCGCAGAGTTGAGACCTTTTTCTTAACCCTATGAAAATGCGTCTTAGAAAATTCACCGACTTCCAAGGGCGATAACTCCAAAACTCTTCAAGATATCGACATGCCTTGAACAAATTAAGGTGTCCAGAGTATAGGTTTTCCAGCGGTGTATCGAACACGATTGTACTATATGCCGTTCTGGAGAAGAAGATTTTTAAAGACAGGCACCGTCAAAACGCGGGAATCGGCAAAAAAATCAGTTTTTTCAAAATTGCGAAAAATTTCTTCTGCCGCGAAACTTCAGCTATGAGTTGAATCGATGGGGAATGATGTTGTCTACATTGAGTGAAAATTTGGTCAATTTATCTCTTATAAGTTTTGAGTTATTCAGGTGTAAAGATTTCGACATTTTGGGTTATCTGCCCTTACCGGAAGCCGGAAGTCTGGATTTTTTCGACTATGTATCAATTTCAGCATACAGGCTATCATCCCTGAAAGTTTCATGAAAATCGACCTAGCGGTTAGGTCAGGAGAGCTGTCACAAAAATTGTACAAATAATAATAAGAAGAAGAAGAATATTCGGATAATAACAATAGGTCTTCCAGACTTTCGTCTGAAGACCTAATTAAGGGGGGAATCAGAACTGTTCCTACAAGGCTTCCTTCCCAGGACAGTCAGCATGCGGAATGGCATCCCACCATCCATATCAGACTATCGCCCTCAATATCTGTGTTCCAGGCGTCGCTCATGGCTGAACACATATTTAAAGTCCTATAATATATGGAAAAGCACAAAAATATGTTGCGAGCGTACCCGCTTTTACAGAAAAATAAAAGCCACAAAAAGACTGCCTGTATGGTACCACTCTGGCGGGCAGCGCAGCACTCACAACGCTGGAGGGGTGGTGGGGTCGCCTTGTGGTTAAAGCGTTCGCTCGTCACGCTGAAGACCCGGGAGAGAAGTTATATTGCTAAACAGCAGGTATTTCTTTGAAAAAGGAGATAATTTACATATATTAGGTTTATCACATGAATCGAATGAACATATTTTATCACAAGTTGGAATCATGTGATATCCTTGTGGAATTAAACTGCAAATCTGAATAAAAGTTATCGAATGAATTGAATTACTCGAGAAAAAAGAAGAGGTTCGTTAGGTATCCATGCCCTTTCAACATCGAAACCAAAAAATTGTTTTCATTACTGTGATTAAATGTCCATCACTATTCCCGATTGCAGTACGTGCTGATTCATTCCGAGTGATATGTATGCTTTACATAAATAAACTGGCTTCCACGGGCTTTTGTGACGAATGGACATCACTGTGACGTCATCAGTGCCATGTCATGACAGGAAAGACACAATCGCTTCGAAAATCTAGGTCCTGGAATATATGGAGATTATTACACGAGCAAGTGTGGCATACGACTTATACGAAACGAGTGTATTATTACCTACGAGGGCGAACATATCGGGGTTCATATTTTCCTACGATGCCCTGTGAAGTTACGTTCTACATGCGGCGACGGCGGGTAGTCAGCCTGTGTTTGAAAGTAGATTTGGTTTATTTTCCACAATTTGACGACTTCGGTAAGAAACAGAATGTTATATTCGTGCCCATATCATGCTATGTTTACGACACTCGTGCCTAAATATCGGTATATCCCTGGCTCTCGCTCGGGAAATACCAACATTTAGGCACTCGACTCGTGTCGTAAACATAGTAAGACATGGGCACTTATATAATATCCTCTATTTACCAAGTGTTGGGAATAAAAGTGACGGTCACCCCTGCTTACAGACTATATTTCCTGATCGGAACACTGAACAATCAGAACCCACAGAGATTCGGACCTGAACGTTTTAGCTGGACTCGAACCAAAAATTGAACAATCAGTTCCCACTGGAAAGGAAGGGTCCTGTGTTGCATTACTGCACTGAACGATATTTCCCAGAGTCTGTGTTGTTGCCTACAGTGGTTTCTTTAGAAAGCAGTCTGCAATTAGTATTGTGGGCGTATTTATTTATGATAGTCAACTTCGAGTCATGAATCGTCTTAGGGAACGTTAAGGGGGGTCACCCATTTTGTTCTGGGTAGCTAGGGGGGTATCAATTTTGTACACATGTACTAGGGGGTCAGCAATTTTGTACATACAAATATTTTAATATTATGCTAGAAATTATGGGAAGGGGAGGTGGGGGTCATTGATTTTGTACATATTATGCAGGGGCACATATTTTGTACATAGATTTTAGGGGGGGGGGGCATTCACATTGTTCATGCTTCTCCCTAAAAATCACCATCACCCCCCTAGCCATAGATGATGAACGGTCCCTAATAATATTAATAAAATGTAAAAACTACTAGGCACAGAAACGTGTTTTGTTTTGTTTAATCCGTTACGCGAACTTACACAGTATGCGCACCGTTTTTTCCACATTTATACCTGTTTCAACGCAGATAATACTACAGTCAATTCTTGATTTTATTACCCACGTGGTCAACGTATGGGTAGTTGCATACTAATCTCGTACGTCACACGAGTGTCGTATCGCGTTGACCTGTGTCGTAATGACTTGACCTGAGATTCTAACGATTTGATTGGATAACCGATGACCTCTCAATTAGGTCACATTCTGACGTAACTATTTTTTCATTCATAACAAACACGTGAATCCATTCATTATATATCTGATACCATACACAGTTATGTGATTCCTGATTAAATTTCGCGCCCTCAATGAACAAGCATCCTTCTTCCATACGCATGCGCAATTGATCCGAAAACTTTGGGAGTAGCCGGAAGTTTTTAAGATGGCTGCCAGCGAGGTGTCTCAGCTGATTGATATAGACATCCCTACTGGACGTCAGAATCTACAGGAAAACCATGCAAACCTCCAGCATCTCGCTGAACACTGCGAGGAACGATATAAACAGGTACTCTGTCGTGGTTATCGTTGAATGAGAACTTTATTCATATATCAAGATCAACAGGTGTCTGTTTACATTTCATATCGACTGAAAAACTGTGGTACGAATCACGATAGTATCGTTATTCGTGCCACAGTTTTTCAATGTACTGCAGGAAGTCAAAAGCTACTGACAGGTGGTCGGTCGTATCGCCACCAGTGGATATGCGAGAGTCAACTCTCGTGTGTAGGTCGATGTTTCCAGTGCCTGTTGATAACACTATCGCAATAAGATGAATCGAACTGACTGCATTTTGGTCACACTATCACAGTTCAACTGAGAATTGTCAGTTTCCACGTGCATTATTTTTGTACATTTGCCCAATATTCCATTTCATTCTAGTCAAATCAGATCACCTGAATATATATCCCTCATGTGATAAGGATCTCAGTGAGCTAGCGCTATAAAAACAGCTTCAGACTGGGCTAGTACAAGCAGCCGCACATACACACGCATGCACGTCGTCATATGAGCGAAATATTCTCAAGCACGACGTAAAACACAATTTCACCTCACATCACCTCATATGATAAGGATGAGTTTAACATGTTTCTTTAATTGTATTACTGAAAGACATATCCAACTTCTGAAAATGCCACCAGAGACCATATGGTTTCTGATGGCCCTCAAAGAAATGTTTCCTTATCGTTAAAATCTAGGGGGATACGGGCGGAAGTCTTACATTTTAATACTGCACTTTTGGGTTCTTTTTCAGATTAATTAAGCTGCTAAGGTTCCCTAACCCTTACGCCTAACCCTAAGGATCGTAAAGGGTTCCTAACCCCAAGGATAGTAAAGGGTGCCTAACCCTAAACCCTAACCCTAAGGATAGTAAAGGGTGCCATACCCTAACCCTAAGGATCGTAAAGGGAGCAGCGAGGGCTGCGCCCAGTAAAGTGCATTCTAGGCACCATTTCTTACAGCTGAGACCATATGAAATCTTATTTTTTGGTCTCTGCTTACAGCGTCATGGTTTGTTTTTAGTGAAAGAATACCTGAATATGAGACAACATGTTTGTTTCATGGTCTTTGTTTATCACAAAGTGTTCAACCATGGAGTGAGTCATACCGTGATGTGACAACATTATACATTAATAACAATAATGTTATTACTGAAAACAAAGTCCTGGCAATGAAGGACAGTCCCAAATAGATTTTCACATATGTTGTTTAAAATTAGTTTGAGGGCTTGTAAAAGAATAAATTTTCAAGTAAGAACACAATATGAAAAGGGTGTATAGATCGCTAGTACCTCCACACAAGGGACTCTAGGGACTGCTTCCTGCAAGGTTCTCCTGTAGTGTTTATTCCATCGCTTCAGCTGCTAGCAATTGTACACAAGTTCAGTCAGCAATAACAAATGTACAAATATACTATAAATTCTTATGTACCCTCTAAGGGGACAATACTTTTAGTTTTACCATGTTTACAGCAATCCAACCTCCATCAATGGCATAGCCACTAACAATCTGTGTTAGTAATCATTTGCTGACAATATATGAAATTTTATGTACATACATACAAAATTTGTTAATTGATTTTGTTTCTTTTAAAGAATAATAATATACAAGCAATAATGTTATTAATATTATAATTATTATAATAATTATTATGCTTGCCTGTGATTCTTTCAACACAACAGCTGCTGAATGGAGAATCTTTCAATAATTATTCATGTGTGAGACCCGTGAAGATCCATGTTAGAATTGATCTTCAGTAACCCATGCTTGTCGTAAGAGGCCACTAAGGGGATTGGGTGCTCAGGCTGGCCTACTTTGTTGACACATGTCATTGTATCCCAGTTGCGTAGATTGATGTTGATCAGTGGATTGTCTGGTCCAAACTGAATTATTTACAGACCACCGCCATATGGCTGAAATATTGCTGAGTGCGGTGTAAAAAGTAAACTCACTCTCTCACTATTCATGTGTGTATTAAATGGCAAATACAACATCTTCACAGTTTGGCCACTTCAAATCTGGGCTGACATCATAGATAGGTGCGACCGGTACTTAGCTGAGTTAGTTTCATTTCGTGTCACTGTAGCTTATTGATACCTACAGAAAGTGAGTGAAGATACTGTGCCATTACAGTGCTAATTTTGAAACAGAAAAAATCATTTTGAGTTTCAGATCAGTTCATTTTCTAAGTCCTTGAGATATTATTATCCCAATATCCTAAAGATATTGGCGATAGTGTTGAAGAATATCCTATCACTACTCTTTGAATTGTGAAGGCATTAAACTACTTCTCTAAGGCCAATCGACTACTAGTATGTACACATCTCCTCATGTTTAAACTAGCCCTTTCATTTTTAGATCTCTGGCTTCTACACCTTTCCCTTTGTCATCCCATTGGCTTTATCTGCTTATTGCCCAGCCAATTATGTTGATTATGTTGTTTTCTTTGTTACACTCAGTATACATGTATATACTTCGCCTCCACTTCATGTTTACATTCCTGCTAGACAACGGTACAAGAATCTGTTTGAAACGCCACACTCATGCACTAAAGAAGTTGTTATCTATTACGTTTGTCTCTATCACTTAAACTTTAACGCATTTAACAAACATCCTTATAACAAACTGACGGATATAATATAGTGTTAACTGGTCCTGGACACTTGCTGTATATTTCAGTTGAAATGCACAGAACAACTAAGGTTATATCAAACTAAAATTAGTGGTCACTTTGAGTTAGTTATAGCCATAGTTTATTCTGAGTCTTAATAACATTTGTGTCCAGTAACTTCAATCTTAGCCCTGTTATTGGCAAAGTCCAGATAAGTTCCAGAATGCTGCCTTATCATACTTTGTGCTGTATCAGGCTGATGACAAGCGGCAGGCCCTGGAGGAGACCAAGGACTACACCACCCACTCTCTGGCCAGTGTGGCCTACCAGATCCACACCCTGGCTGCCAACTTCCTCAACCTGCTGGACATGCAGCAGAACCAGCTCTCGGGGATGGAGTCCAGCATCAACCACCTCTCACAGGTAACATGTCAGTTGTTGGTGATTATTGTTCTAGCATGTACTATGATGTAGTTTGCATGAGTAGTGTTTTCAGTATAAATAATTAAAGTAGTGGTGAGATTGTTTAGATATTAAGGGGCAATGGTGTAGCCCAGTGGTTAAAGCGTTCACTCATCAAACCAAAGACCTGGATTTGATTCTCCACATGGGTACAATGTGTGAAGCCCATTTCCAGTGTCAATTTCATGACTTTGCTGGAATAAAAGCTGAGTAACTATTTCACACACCCACTCTAAGACGTTGGTAATGATTGTTGTCTTTCTGCAGATTGTAAACATACACAAGGAGAAGGTAGCCAGACGAGAGATTGGTGTTATCACAACCAACAGGACTTCATTGAGGGCTGTTGGAACCAAGAACGGCATCATATTCCCAGAGCAGGCTGAACGTCCAGTCAAGTATCAGCGCAAACCAGTAGATTACACAGTACTAGACTCTACTGGACATGGAATCAAAGTAGATGTTAATCATTTAATTACCATCATCACAAAATTAGCAGTCAGGCTGATGTTGAGGACAACACATAAATAACTGTACATTCCTTACAAATACTGTAGAAGTTATGCATGCCTTAAATGACTTCAATACACTATCCAAGTTACACAAAATACTGCAGAGACTGAAATTAAGATTCAGCCTGAAAGTTAATGCAGTCTATAAAAATTATATGAGAATTTTTGACCTAGTGTTTCAATATGTGCTGCATTTTAATTGGCTTCTAAAGCATGTTGTTGTTTTGTTTTGTGTTTTATTTATTGTCTATCATGTCTATACCTGGGTGAGATAACACATTATAGACCATCAGAAACATTCTTCAATTTCTGCGAAGTGTCCTTGCCATTAATGTCTGCAAGATTGCTGATGCGGCAGTATTTGCTCACTCACTAATGCATGTTTCTTCCTATGTAGGCACCATCTTCGGCACCCAAGAACAGCCGTCCCCCTTCCATAGCAAGTCAGGGCTCTTCCCACGCTCCCACCACCAGACCCCCCACGCCACCCATTTCACGGTCCGGTTCCATGTCAGGGGGCTCAATTTCAGGAGCTTCTACATCAGGGACAATCTATGGAACCCTGGGAAGAAGCCATTACAGGTCAGTGGCTCCCCCAGTGGCTCCACCATCTGTCCCAGCCAACCAGCAGTATGCAACCGGCCAATCCCAGCATGGTGCCAGGGACAGATATGAAATGCTGTATGCCCCCAGTGTAATGGGTACTGTCCACTCACCCCCACCTCTTGGAATGGCACGGCCCACATCAGATAGGGTGTCCTACCATCGGGAATCCACAGGTGGTAAGTCGATTTTTTGTTAGCAGAATACATTTATGAAGAAGTGATTTTGTGATGAATTTTTAGATGAGAGCTTGTTTTGGAAAACTTAAATCAGAAAATCATCTTACGGAAGCAGTGTTTTTACTAACTTTGAACTCATAATATTGTTGAGAGTTATTTTTCAAAGTAATCTTAGTATAGACATTCAGTTTTCATCGTAGAACATCCTATGCCCTTAGGTGACTTTCAGTGCGTAGAAGGTCCAGGGCCACGATTTACAAAGTGGTTGTGGCAGTATAAATGTCATAAGTCAATGTTAGAGTATGGAAGTAACAAATATCTCAGCAGTAAGATCCAGGACTTCAATTTGTTTCCTTCTATTTTCCTCATATTCTTCAACCCATATTTCACTAATTAGATTACATTGTTAATAATTCATGACAGCTGTTTTTCTGTTCTTAAACAATGTTTTATGTGAAGCATCTTTTCTGTTTTGTGATGATGGTCCTGTCTTGTTGACACAGCTCCCTTTTCGTACATGGGTTACCAGATTGCCAGTAGGCAGGGTGAGACTGCATGGGAATGAGTACTCCAGTATAAAGCATGATAATGTGTCTGAATGGTGGGAGACTAGTCTATAGTCAGCTTTGTCTTCAATCATGGATGTGACACCATAATGGCCTCTGATGGTAAACATTTATGGAAATTACAGGCAGCCAAACTATTTATATGCGATAGTTCTCAGTGCAGAGTTGTGTCCCTTAGGTTTGTCAGGAGCCAATGTTTATTTGTTTTTAATGCCACACTCCGATATTTTCCATCTAATGTGATGGCTGGTTTGTAAGTAATAAAGTGTGGACCAGATAATCTAGTGATTGATATAATGAGAGTTTATCTATGCAACATGCCTAACATGACATGCATAAAAAAGTCAGTGTGCGCAATCACATTGGTCAAGTGTAGATGATGACTATGGATTCATAGTTTTGACATGAATGTTTGAATCATTTACTGAGGAGGAAAACTGAAATGGCAAGGGAAGGTTCTAGTACTAGACTACAGTTTAGTATGAAGACTGGCAAGAATAGCCATCCCATCTTCATGGGTGCTGGTGGCTGTTGATGTATACTAGTGTTAGACAATAGTGATGCTGCAAGGCTTAAAGTTTACCTTTGTTGCTATGACGATATTTAGGCTGCTGTTTTGCTGCTGCTGCTGCTGCTGCTGTACCTTGTATGTTGCTAGATCTGCCTGGTGCCTTCTCTATACAGATGTTCCTCTCTTGTATCAGTGTATGTACAGGGATAGACATGACCTCTTGTCAGTCTGAGACTAGTGAAAGTTTAGAAGGACTAGTATTTTTCTCCCTGAAGCTAGTAGTATTACATGTAACTACTCACTAGAAATGATCTATTGACTAGTTGATTATGACGATATGTTAGTTGTGAGATAATCAGTATATTCAGAGGATTAGGTGTTCTTTAACATCATATCATCAAAATATTTTGTCATTTGGGTAGTATTTTTGCAGGATAGAATTTTACTGTGTAATCATAGTATATAGTGGAAAGCTTGACATCTTTCCTTTAAGTACCAGGGTGCCATTGTACAAAACAACTTTATCGCTAAGGTGATCATAAGTCCCATACCTCAACATAGACTTACCATAGACTTAGTGCAAAGGTTGTTTTGTCCAATGGCACCCAGGTATTTGGGGCTAAGTAAACAATTCATAGCAGAAATTGGTGTAGAGGAATACAACATCCAGTTATTGTGAAATCTTGGTCAGTCTGATTTGTTTTTGTGATACCTTCAGCTTTTTGAGCCTGCATTTATAGAGATCTGAGCTTCATGTCCAGCTTTTGTTTAATTCTCTATCATGTCTATATATTACGTTACAAACTATGATTATAATTTTTAACTTACCTTACCATAGGTCTTATGCATATTACCTTAAGCTCCGCTAGAAGAGATCAGACAGTCGTTGCTTCGCCATTCTCTAGAATGGCTGCCTCAGGTATCTACGAGTGTATAGGCACGGAAGTGACGTGATCTCCCCTCTCGCAAAGGCGGTCTATCCAAAAATCTCTTTTACTTTAAGCGTGCTACATGTCAGATGTTTGTTTTCGCTAGCTCATTACGTTTTTTCTCTTTCAGATTTAAGTTATTGATTGCTTTTTGGTAGGTATGTTTTTATTTCTTATTCTTCTCTGTGAGGGTGAAGAATATAATAAAAGTAAACTTCACCTACCTGACTGCCTCGTGTTTTTCACTATGGTGTGGGGTGTGTTCCTGCACTGTGAGTGTCTCTCCACTTGGCATGTTTGATGTATTGCATACTCCTATGTCTCTTTCATCATAATGTTCATGCTTGGTGTTGTATTCCTTCATATTTTTGACTAATTGTGTGTTTTTATCACACTTCTCGGCTCAGTGGGGGCAGCCATCTTGGTTGTTTCTCTACTGTCTCGCCTGCTTGGGCATGCCCATTCTTGCTGTAAGGGGTGCTTCCATTTTCCCTGCAGGTTTTTTTTTCGTTGTGTGTTTACGTTTTGTTACGTTTTGACTTTTTTTTGTGTGTTGTGCATGACCCGGCAGTTTTGTAGCATCTGCAGGGTGCAGAAATCTGCCAAGGATCCCCACCCGTGATGTCCGGACTGCGCCACAGTCGTCTGTTCCCCTGACCAGCGCTGTCATTTTTGCTCTCCGTTGTCTGTTGCTGATATCAAGGCCTACATAACAGCCAAGAAGAAACGATTGTCACAGCGCAAGAGGAAGATGTCGTCTCCTGGTTCTTCAGTGGGATCCCGATCCCCTCTTCCTCGGATGCCGGATGGACGTTCCTCTCCTGCTACAGTACAGACGCCTACCCCTGCGCCACGTCTGTTTACGCCTGAAGCCCAACAACCTTCCCACACTTTTGTTGATTTGTCTCGGCCAGATGCTCTATCACATCCGGAGGTTCAGAAGCTTTTGAGGACGCTCCTCTTGCCGGCTGCAGTGGAAGCCCAAGCCAGCTCCGTGCCAGCGCCTATCGCTGCCCCTACCCCTAGCACACTCCCGGCGCCGACGACTGCAGCACTCAGCTTGGGTGCGGCTGGGTTGTTTTTCTCAACCAGCGCTTTTCCAGGTCCAGGCTGACACCTATGCCAACAACAGTGCCTACGCCAACGACATTGCCGACGCCGCTGGCAAGCTACCCTATCCCTAAGAAGATACCTGTCTCTACGTTGTCTAGAGAGGAAGACTTGCAGCGGCAGTTCTTGGAAGAGCGTTCCCGACGCCAGGAGGCTGAGCGTTCTAGGCGTTCTCGCTCTAGGTCTCCTCGTCACCGCCGTTGATCCAGGAGCCTTGTTTTAGCTCTGATTCTTGTCATCGCCGGCGTTGTTCCGATTCCAGGTCTCGCTCACCTAGACGTTCCAACGATAAGGAGAAGCGTTCTACGTCGCCGACTCGTGGGAGGCATTATCATCGGTCCTGTTTTAGGTCTCCTCTTGTGCGCCACTCGCCGCGACGACCACGTTCTCCAACAGTTACTTTTAGCACTGATTCTCAGGTGTCATCAGACCGCATGACGCCTGCTGTCTTTAGCCAACAATTTAATGCCGTTACAGCGTTTCCCCCTGCCTTACATCCAGGCAGACAATCTTCAGTCGAGATTCTTCCTGCCACTACATCTCCACCCTTACCTCCGCTGGTGGACTGTAGAGTCGAATTCTACCTAGGCGTCTCCTTGAGTTTGCTCACGATCACGAACTTTTCGTGGATGCGTCTCTTCAGGGCTGGGGTGCACACCTCAGCGACCAGACCACCTCGGGGCTGTGGTCCGCCGACGAACTAGGCTGGCATATCAACAACTTGGAGTTCCAAGCAGTCATTCTAGCGGTTCGACATTGGATTCCTCTGCTGCGGAACACCAGGCTCCTGATAGCGTCGGACAATTCTACGGTGGTGTGGTTGATTCGCAACCAGGGAACAACCAGGTCCAAACGGTTGTTGGAGCAGAACTTCCTGTTGGCCGATCTCCTGGACAACAATGGCATCAAAGCCAGAGCCCAGCACATCCCAGGTTGCAAGAACGTTCTAGCAGACGCTCTCTCAAGGCCAGGCAAGCCATCGCCAACAGAGTGGATGCTACATCCAGAAGTGTTCAACCTTCTATGCCACAGTCACGGTCACCCTCTGATCGACCTGTTTGTGACCCAGTTCAACAAACAGCTGCCGTTGTACGTGTCTCCAATTCCAGATCCGGCGACATGGGCAGTCGACGCAAAGGTCAAGCAGACAGTGGCGATTCGTCTGCATTTGGTCGTGCCTTGATGGCCAACCAGAACTTGGTTTCCAGATCTGCGCCGTCTCGCTGGAAGAAATCTGCTACAGTTGCCAGAGTGGCCTCATCTGCTCAGACATCCGCATCGACATCGACAGCTGCATCCCGATCCGACTCGATTTCATCTGTTTGGTTGGATCATCTGCAAAGGGCGCTAAAGGCTAAAGGCTTCTCCACAGGCGTTGCTAAGGTTATTGCTCGTGCTCATCGAGTGTCCCATAGATCATTCTATGATGATAAGTGGATTTCTTTTGAGAAGTTTTGTGCACAGAAATCCAAGGACCCGTTAAAAGCCTCGTCTCAGTTTATAGCAGAGTTCCTTCTTTTCCTTCGGAAATCCCGGCGTCTCAAGGGTAATACTATAAGAACGTATTTGTCGGCTCTTAATTCTGTGTTGGCAGTCAAGTGTGACAAGAAGATTTTCCAAGATGCCGGAACTTATGGCTTTACTTAAAGCGTTCAAGCTGGAGGACCAGAAGGCAAAGTTTTGTCCTCCTGCTTGGGACCTTAACATCGTTCTTCGGCATCTGAGAGGTCCGCCTTACGAGCTCCTGGACTCTGCATCTTTTGAGAATCTCTCCAGGAAAACAGCTTTTCTCTTGGCCTTGGCTACGGCGGCTAGGGTCAGTGAGATCCACGCTTTGGATGTCACCAGGGTGCGTTTTGAGCAGTCACGACATGGTCCTGTTCATCTGTCTTCCATTCTAGGACCACACGACGCTGAGGAAGAGCTGCTTTGTCCTGTGAGGGCTCTTAAGATGTATCTTGCCAAGTCATCATCCAAGAGGCAGTTTCGAAAGAGACTGTTTATTCCCTTTTCCTCGGCGGTTAAAGGGGAAGTTAATAGGAATACTATTGCCCTCTGGTTACGTACGACCATCCTGGCCGCCTACGATGCACAGGGTCTACCTCATCCTACAGCTAATAACCCGCACGAGATTAGAGCCCTGGCGTCCACTATGGCTCTCCATAGGAACTGCACCGTTCCAGCCATCATGGAGGGATGCTTCTGGAAATCCTCTACTGTCTTCGCTAGCCACTACCTGCGGGATTTGGCTGTTGAGGATGTGGAAGGGCTGCAATCCTTTGGTCCTCTGGTGGTTGCCCAGCAACTCACCCGACCTACCGCCCATTAGGTAACTTCTTCTTCTTACCTTTTGGTCTTCAGGTTAACTTACGCCCTAGGTGTGTTGGTTTCCTTAGGGTTTCCTTGGATTACTATCTGTTTCCTGTTACAGGTGCCTCCTGATTCAGCCTGTCGACTCAGTTAGTTCTCTTTGGTTGCTCCTACTGTCAAATACCGTCGAATCCATATGCATAAGACCTATGGTAAGGTAAGGTAAAATTTATTAAAATCTAAATATTTTAGATATTTAAATACTTACCTTACCATAGGGCGGTAACTCCCTCCCAACGCTGGATGCTCCTCCCCTCTCTGGGCTCTTCGGACCTGGTCAGTAAAAGTGATTTTTGGATAGACCGCGTTTGCGCGAGAGGGGAGATCACGTCACTTCCGTGCCTATACACTTGTAGATACCTGAGGCAGCCATTCTAGAGAATGGCAAATCAACGACTGTCTGATCTCTTCTAGCGGAGCGTAAGGTAACATGCATAAGACCTATGGTAAGGTAAGCATTTAAATATCTAAAATATTTAGATTTTAATAAGTTCCTGTCTTTTCAATTCTACTCTTAAAATCTATTCTGCAGCATGAAAATTCATTTTTCCCAAGACATTCTTTGATGAGGGCTAATGTACATGAAGGTGTTCTGCAGACAATGCAGTATTATTGATGGTAGGAGTAAACAGAAGTGATAGGTTGAATACAGTTTTGTGACGGGTGAAAAATGGAGACTGAGGTATGGGTAAGTAGAAATAATGGTGGTGAATAACATCTTAACATTTAGGAATGATTAAACCTATTTTTGATTACCGACCGTGCTTGTTACTCGAGATATGTTTGCAGTTATATTATAAAGCTGTTTAGTATACCTTGCTTTTACATAATAGTATTAGTATTAGTAAGCCAGCTTGCCAGGTGCAGGGGTGTATGCTTGCTGCATGTTGTGTTGTCATGGTTACAGATGTGCCGCTGCCTCCTCCCCCTCCAACCCTGGACCATGAAGGGCAGGATGCACTCGCTTCAACAGGTCGGCATGATCCCGCGCTAATGTTCCCACTCATTACCCCTATCTCCCCATTTCCCTTTTCGCCCCTCTTGCATTTGACCTGTTTGATCATAGAGTGGTAAGTTACATAGATGTGTGTTCCCGAGATCAGTGCTTCTAGTAAATGTACTGGGTCAGAGCTTCCTGCTGGCAAGTTATCTGGTGGAGACTGAAGTTTATTATTTTCAGCAAGTTTAGGGTGCTATGTCACTTTAGGTCATGTATTGTTTCCTCACATAGCGATATGTATTGCAATGATTGAGTCAAGATACTTGACTCACAATGTGTTGAAATGATGTTCGGCTAATAATACGCAATGCCATGTAGAAAGTTCAGCTGACAAGACGCGTTGCTATCAACACCCTGTTGTTAATTACAACAGTGATAGCCAATCAGATCGATGCCAGGGCAACATATTTATTCTTTTTCTTTTTCTTTTTTTTTTTTTTTTTTGGGGGGGATTAAGGTATGTTATTTTATTTATGGATACTGATTGAGTCGTACTGTATTTTAGGGCTATAATGCTTAACAAGTTTTCAGTGATTCAGTTGTGCGACTAATAAGAACTGCATAAAACTGAATGTAGAAATGTTTTAATGCAAACATTTTGCAATAATCCACACGACCAGTCTTTGAAAACAAAAGAATTTTTAGGCTGGATACAAGTGTCCGCTTGGTCTTAGGCGTACCTTTGATGTGCTTATTGTGGGATGTTATCATAGGCTGACCTTGACCTGTGTTGTCTGCACCACATCTTCGTGAGTCTGTGACAGATGTGACGTTCTGATTGTGATGAGCTCTAAGTTTCTCATCACTGTTGTTTCTTACCTCAGTAGTGTCACCACCCCCACCCCCTCCTCCTGAGGCTGCCCAAGGGTATGGCTATGGCAATGATCCACCTCCACCACCCCCAGAGTTCAGTGACACGGACAGTCAACCGCCGCCACCCCCAGAGGATCCGTACATGGAGACGGGGCCACAGCTCACCACGCAGCCGGACTGGATCCCCAAACACTACCAGGAGAAGGGTAACTATTCACATACTGTTAGACCATTTATGGTCTCATGAAGATCTGATGATCTAATCATGATCGAGAGTTCCCCTCTTCCAAATGTTTAAACTTATCCTGTCTCACATTATGCATCTTCTCTTTTTCTTATGACCTAGGAGTGGAAACGACCTGAAACAAAGTTTTCAGCCTCCTGTAAGACCTTACTGAAACACACCCTAGTTCCATCTATTGATGTAGGCAGTTACCTTTACCTCATGCAATAGGTGGGTCATGCTCCAGTTGAACGTTTGACTCACAACTGTCTTCTTGCTCTTTCTTGTCACAATAAAGTATAGATCCTATATTTGAGAGATTTTGTCTCTATTGTTTAGAGACTTGGATATAACTTTTGTCAATCTTTCAAATTGTACGTACATCATGGGAAAGGATGACTGAGCCTTCGGAAGGGGAATGTGTCTCGAGGACTCTTTAGTCTTTTGACCCGCTCTCTTCTTGTATAAACTGCATCAGATACTTCTTTAGAGAAACGATGTTCTGCATTTAACTACCTGAAGGATAAAAATCACACCTTCTCTTGGAAGGCTAGCTCAAGACATAACAAGGCTTGTGATTATAAACTTTGAGTGGAAGAGTTTGGGCCATCTTCGAGCAAGAATGCACGTAGATATTCCTGATTGCCAGTTCATGCCAAACACGACATCTTGTACACTCCATCTGATGTTGACCTCAGCAAGAGCTCCAATGTTTAATCCGAGCCTCGGTCATCAATTCCTCCTATGCCTCCAGAGTGTTGTCATTGAGCAGTCATTGAAGTTTCCTTTTTCACCCATCCCCCTTATGGTTTGTTATATCTTGACAATTCATCAGCCCCTCCCAGGATCATCTCTGCCTTCATTCCTTTCACATTATTTGACAACCACTTCAGGATTGACTGCATCTCTGGGATAAGAAGATCATTCTGTGTACAGTCAGAGCTTTGTAGCAATTGTGCTGCTTCGCTAATCTGTTGTGGACCAGCAGCTCTTCATTCCAAGTCTCTTCAGCCTCCAGAGTGGAAGCGTCTCACCACTATTGCTGTCTGGATGCGTTTCACTGTCCACATCCTCTGGTTACCTCCATCCCTCATGTAACAAGGGCAGTAGCCTCCACTAAACCAGTTAACAGCAACATTTCCACATTTATAATGCTGGGATGTTTCTGGAAATCTGAGAAGGTCTTTGATTCCCTTATCTCCGATGTCCATGGACTCCTCACGTTTGGACCTCTGGTCATGGGTTGAAAACTATCAACAAGAGTCACATGATCTGATACTTCTTTGTCTAATTACAAGAAAAAACGATGATAATTTGGAATTGACCAACTAAAGGCTGGTCATATTCTGTAAATAATTCTTTAACTCTACAGGCAAGCCTGGTACAACAACACCTAGGAGATCCGCACATGCTCGCATGCCCGCAAATTCTACTGCTCATGAGCAAGATTATATGCATTCCACTCTGATGTTCATTATCTGTCAGTGAGTAAGCTTAGTAGGGATAAAAGAGGGTCACTGGATGGGATAGGAGCAGAACGTTAAACAGAGTGCTACCTGAGCCATCCCACCTTACATTCCCTGGTGTCTATGGTGAATGGTTTTGAAGAACTTACGAGCTAGGTTCTTCGGCCAGTTGAGATGAAGCAGTGGTGCCTGGCTTTTAGCTTAATCATTTGTCCTCTGACCAATTGTAACATTGAGAGAAATCACATAACATAGGACGGCACACTCCCTGGGAGTTTGTGCTTAGTACCACTAAGGGGTTACATGCAGGGATGAGAATTTTCCGCGGATCCGCGGAATTCAGGCAATTTCATAAGGCCAAGGGTCATTTTGTGAATCGTCTAAATCCGATAGATGCTTAACCCCCGGCTAGTTTTCAGAGTTTTTCTCAAAACTTCATTCTCATCCCTGTATATGGAGCAGCTCATCACAAGTCAAGCCTGTGATCTGAACTTGAGTCCAGCTCTGAGACCAGCTCCTTGAGAACTATGCCTCTCACGGTTGTCGTATTGTGATTACAGCAGACTAGAGTAATCTGAGTCTCACTGTCCAAATGTGAGATAAGTGCATCATGTAGGATAGAATAAGTTAAACATTTATACTTGTCCTGTCTCACAGGATGGACTCACAACTAACCAACCAACCCCACTTACACATTACTGGGATGGTTCTAGCTCCAAGTCAAGAGAATGGAGACAGTTGGGAGTCACTTGGTTGTCTGGAACATAACACTCACTTTACATGGGCTTATGATGGCTGCCTACAACAATGGATGGAGCTGGGATGTGTTTGGATGAGCTGTTAGAGGAAGCTGAAACATTATTTCAGGTCGTTTCTGCTCCAAGGTCATAAAAACAAGAACATAATTATTTTTTCTCCCTTTTACTGCGATGTGTGATTTTAAAATATTCTTTTGATCTTCAGTTATAGCAATCTATGACTACAAGGCAGAGAAGGAGGATGAGCTGACGTTTTCAGAAAACTCGCTGATCTTTGTACTGAAGAAGAATGAGGACGACTGGTGGGAGGGAGTAATGGATGGGCAGCGTGGCCTGTTCCCGTCCAACTACGTGGAACCCTGCATGTAGAACTGGTTCCAACAAACACACACTATGCATGTCCAACACAGGCATATGTCCCAACACCTCAATAAGCTTATTCCACTGTGTGGATCCTACCTTTAAAAGGGCATTAGGCTATGAATAATTGGCAGTCCCTGCAAATTTGAACCAGGTCATTTTGAATCACTCCTTTTAGTGTACAGTACCAAACAGGTCTTTTATAGTGGTGCCTTTTCATGCAGTGAGCAGGTTTGAGCTGGTGCCTGGTTACAATGTTAGGACCTGATTTGGACATGGCACTGGACTCGAGGGAATAGTCCATCTTCAAGACAATTTGGGATCTCATCAGAGAGTAGATTGTTGTGACTGGAAGCTGTCAAGTTTCTTCACATCTGGTTAATGTTTCATAATTAGGTTCTGTTCAGATGAACAGATTTATTCATCTCCGAAGTTAGATAGGTCCATACATGTTGCTTTATATCACATGCAGAGTTTCTACACTATCACAGTTTTATTTCTTATCATTCCATACCTTCAGCGTGTATATGCACAGAATGAAGTGTTCATTTTTATACTTATTAGTGACTAGTAATTAGCAGAACGTTTTGTTGGTGCCATATATTCTATTTCTGTTTGTGATGTTAATGGAGACATGGTCTATGCCATATACAGATTGTTTCACTTGAAGCACCTTTGTACATTATGACAACTAGAAATTAGGAACTGCTGTCGGTTATCTTGATTGATGTGGAACATACACGTGTGTGTCTGTCAGAAGTTATTTTGTATTTGTGTCAGTTCTTGTTTCATGTGTTTACTGGTTAAATGGAAGTGCCAATATGTTTTCAAATGAGAACAAATTATTTAGACTTTTTCTCATCAAATGTATGCATATTTTTATAAGAAGGAGTTAGTGCTCCCATAATGACATAAGTTTCTCTGTGCCTTGTCACTTTCTTGCCTTACTCTATTTTGTCATTTGGTTTTAAAACTTTTATTAATAGGGCTGTTCTCAGCTCAGTGCCTACAGCATGTTCAGGCAATGTACATATTGGACCATTCCAAATTATGCTACATTTCATTCCAGAAGACCTTCAAAAACTGTGATTATAGTATATTCTCAAGGAAACTGTCTTTGTTATGTTTATGTTATGGGTGCTAGGGTTTCTGAACCTAACATATTGTTGTTTGTATGTAGGTAATTGTCTTTATATGTATACAGGGATTTATCTAGACATCTAAGAGGCTGATATTCATCCCCTAATTTGTAGCAAGGTAATAGTGTCTTTATTCAAGGTAGTGAAGTGAAACTAGCACAATTAACAGGACCAATAAAGAAGGTTCTTTAATGCTTACTTTTACATGATTGCATGGAATGCAGTTAACTAAAAGAAAATCCCAAATTTGAACCAAGTGATTTTTTACCAGTACTTGTGCTAAACCTAGATAAATCTCTGGTTTACAATCTGTTCTTCTTGTCCTTCCATCCCAACGCTGCTGATCAGTGTTTCGAATCCGTTATTGGTTGTCCTCCGTAGTCACTCAGCTGTGTGTGACTGTGGTAGTTATAGACAGCTACAGCCTGTGTAGTTTCCCCATGCACAACATGAGACATTGTAGTTACTGCTCTGGGTGGAGATAAGCCCAACTCACTCCTCTCACATGAAAGTGCATTAATGTTAGTCTGTCTCAAGGTCACGATTGCTCACTATTGTCCAGGATATAGATATTTCCTTGTGTACACCAGGCAGACTACCTGCTGATGCTGGATTGTTTTCACCTTTGTGTTTTTTCTCAGATTATTTACATTGATCAAATCAGAATATTTTTCATTTTGTTTGTACTTAGATCTGATTTTGAGTTATTTCATATTTATATGTCAAATCTTGTCATATTTTGTGTTATTGTGAGGAAAATATTTTTTAATAATATCAAATCTTATGTTTCCAAACATTATTGTAAGGATTCTGTTGATGGAAATAAGAACTCTAACAGTAAGGACGGTGGTAAAACTCATGTATTTCCAATCAATCTGATAACATTTTATAATGTTCTGTTTGTTTTATCAGAAAATCTTTTGAACAAGAACCATCTACTATTATTTCTCACTAGGTTCATCAGGTAATATGTTTGCCACATGACAATCATGCACAGCTGCTTCAGTTGCTGAATAAAAACATATACTTGATCAGTAGGTTATCAGGCATTGCATTTCCTCTCATCAAACTGTGTTCACCAAGTGAAGTTCACTCTCATTTGCTTGGCTTCAAAAAGGGTTTCTCCACATTTTGAAACCCTAATTAAATTAACCGTTAATACGAGAGATATGTTTCCTGTTATTGGTATTGAGGGGTGGTGTGATGTTTTTTGGGACATTTGCTGGCTAGATGGGAGTGGAATATTTAGTCATAATAAGTGCCAACCTTGGAAGAGGTTCATATCCCCCGGGGTATTTAGATGTTGAATATAGTCATAACAGATTGCAGTTGTTTCACGCTGCTGGCTACATATGATAGATGTTGGGAACTTAGCTTCAGATGGCCGTGCAAGTAGAGGAAGGGTCACAGAACCACATTACAACCTCTTCTTTTCAGATCCCCACTGATCTGTATTCCACATTAGAATTTGTCCCCAGCAACAGTTCAGTTTGTACGAGTCGAATAAATAAATGGTGTAGTCAGGCTAGGTGACCTGGTTGATTGCATGTTACCCAGTCCCAGTTGGATTACTAGACACAGGATGTCCATCAGTGGATTGTCTGGTCCACACTTTGCTACTTCCAGACCACTGTCAATGGACCTTGTGATGTCCGAGTTCAGTGTTGACAACTAGCAAACACTTCTCTGTCCCAAATGTTGATGAGTGAATCTTCAGGTGTTGATTGTGTAGCTTTAATGATTCATTGGTATAAGCATGCATTCACACACATTTTTGAACATGGTGCAAAGGATTTGGTCGTTTATTTCTGGTCTGTTTAGGGGTGGTGTGGTAGCGTAGTGGTTAAAGCATTCGCTCGTCACGCCAAAGACTCGGGTTCAATCCCCCTCATTGGTACAATGTGTGAAGCTCATTTCTGGTGTCCCCCACCGTGATATTGCTGGAATATTGCTACAAGCGGCTTAAAATCATACTTGCTCACTCATCCTGGTTTAGGGGGGTTTGGTGAAAATGATACATTCATTATTTATCTATACTTTCACATAGATATTTTTTCCTGATGACGTAGTACCATGTGTGCCTCAAGACTATTATCCTTAAACGTTATTAACCCATATCACTTTATTCTATCCTTCCCAACTAGCTGATGTGCTTTGACTGACCTCATCTCCTTTGGATGAACATATTTTCTGTAAATTTTTTCAAATCTATCATCAGCTTGAGTGAGTTTTAGAATATACATACTAATCGCCTCCATTGAGAAAACAATGTTTTTGTTTCAGCTCCTAGGACACACAGACAGTGATATCTTCACTTTATGCTGATTTTGCTTGTAAAGACCAGGAAATTAAGGAAATATGAACTATGAGCTAAAATTTACAAATTGTTTTTAAATAACAGGACATGTTAGCTTTCATTAATTATTACTTTAATAAATATTTCATTCAAGAATTCAGGGGTTGTATACAGGTTGAAGGTTTATCGTTTATTTATTTTTTCTGGTATTCTCCTTTCTTTTATCCATGAAATAAGACTTTTGTTTCCATAGTGATTCCAGCAGCCACTACTGTGTAGACAGAATGATAATACAGCTTTTACTTTGCATCTGATTACGAACAAGAATTTTGTTTTTCATATATTATGCAGTATTACTTGTGCTAATGCTCTTCATTATCACATTAAGAATAAAATCATGTTGAATGCATTCTTGAATGATGTCATTATTTGATCACATAAACTAAGATTGTGAACGATGTAACCCTGGGCCTGGATGAAGATCAAGCAGACTGTTGGTGTTACAACCAGGTCCAGTTGGTGATTGCAGGGGTTGAACATTAACCCGACAATAATCATAAAATTATTTTTGTGCTCAGGACTACAGTCAAGGTTCTACACACATAATCAATTTTTTTCAAACCATTTCTGTGGATGGTGACACAGGGATTTAGTTCATATGAATAAACTCGTATTCCAGCCAAGGTCGAGCACACCTTGGTATAGTGCAAAGTCGTCTAGTTATATGCTGGACTAACAGGGATTATGCCATATCACTACTTTAAGTACACATTTACGTGGATTCCCCACATGGATACAATGTGTGAAGCCCATTTCTGGTGTACCCGCCGTGATATTGCTGGAATATTGCTAAAAGCGGCGTAAAGTCTCACTCACTCACAACATTTAGTGGGAGTGATGTTAAGCCCCCAAATTGTCACAAATTATTTAATGAAGTGGTATAAAATCAGTCAAAAGATACAAAATACCAGGCCCCTAATCAGACAGTGTGGCAGCAGCATTGTCTGCGTGCGAAGTACCCAAAGTTCATTTTGACTTCAACGCACTGATCACGATTCATTTTCTTGCATTATGTGGCATCGCTATGTTACTCAGTGGGTCATGGCAGCTTTTACGGAATAAGCCGAAGTATCCCGAATGTTAGCATTATGGAAAACCGCGGCACGCTATGCCGTGGAGCCTGCGGAGCGAGAGACAACGAACTGATGAAGGAGTCGAAGGATAACGACATATTCTGAATGCACTTACCGGAAGTCGAATACAAAAATGGCTGCAAACGAAGTGATGCAGTTGATCGAGTCAGAACTTCCAGAGGGCCGCCAGAGTTTACAGGACAGCCATGCCAATTTGGAAAGGGTTGCACAGTATTGCGAAGGAAACTACCTTCAGGTAGAGTTAAATTTGATGTATATTGCATCCTTATACACAGACGACATCCTCCATTTACGCACCTGTCAGTTCACGACATTGTTTTTCATGAATATCTCACATAGATAATAATCGATGTCTTGTCTAGTGGGGATCTTTTGGTAGGGTGCCTAACAGGTCCGGATTTCAATGTGTGAAGAGCAAAAATACGTAATTATTAAAACCAAACTACACAAGTAACGCAACAAAACTGATATAAGAATTCCGATGCCGGCTAATGTCGGATCACTGTAGAGGGCTCCCTGTATTGTTACAGCTCGGATAGTGTTATGACAAATATGCACGTATGTTCTTGATGAAAACACATGTTATTTGAGTGCGAGTGAGAACACAATATTCCCATTGTTGTTAGCGCTTTTTATAGTCTGTTTGCAGTGAAAACGTACCGATGACTTTCACTTTAAACCAAAAAATAATCGAATAATGTGAAATTAAGATTGCGAATCCTCATAATTTTACCTTGCCAATTGAAAATTTAAATCTCAGAATTTTTTTCAACTTAAGATAAAAGTTGTTTAACAAACGATCATGGTTTCATATCGCTATTATTGGTTTGTATTACAGGGGGTATGCACATTAAATGAAACACCGAGAACAGGTAGGGTTGGTCTAAGTTAACGCTCATCACGTCCCGCCCGTGCATTTGTTTCACTGTTCCAACTACTGCGCTTATCCCCTTGTAATACAACCCAATAATAGTGATTCGAATCTATGATCATTTGTTAAACAACTTTTGTCCTAAGTTGAATAAAATTCTGAGATTTAAATGTGTAATTGGAAAGGTAAAATTATGAGGATTCGTAATCTTAATTTCACGTTATTTAATTGACTTTTTTGTTTAAAGTGAAATTCATCGGTACGTTTTCACTGCAAACAGACTATAGGCTCGGTTTATGAAGGCATTGTATCATTTGGGTAGCTATGAATCCCGTGTGTCAAAGTATAGATACCGTATCTTCAAATCTGTCAAATATTCAGGTACCTGAGATAAAGTTACTGATACTTTTTAAACTGCAATTTATTTAACAAATTGAGGACATAGCTAGAAATATACATGTGTACAGTAAATTACAGTATTATTGCGGTAGTTAATGTTGTCGCTATCTGGATTATGACCACTACTGACATTTTATATACAAGATATTTTCAGTTGCTGATGTTTTTGACTTCATTTCTGTCGTAAATAATTTGGCATATAGCCACTACTGGTCAATCCCGAATGACTTGTTTGCCCGGGAAGTGAAGCGACTCTCTATTATCATGGTATTGATGGTTTTTTTACAATGACACACAGTACAAGCATAATGACACTGTCAAACATTTACTTACAACAAGTAACCAATCTTAATGGTTTTAGTATTCAAAATTATTTATGAATTTCATCAGGATTAGTTATTTAATATTCATTTGGATACAAGGTAACAATAAGGTGACAAAATAGTTGTTAAGCCTTAAAGCATATCATTTGATGCCATGTGCAGTGTGAAGTTGCACAATGCGTCACTTCTGGTTATATTTTTAGGACAGTAAGTATGACCTTATAGTTGTTGCGGAATTACAGTTGACAATGTAGGTGTTGATTTGTGCAATATGCAATGGCAATAGGAGCCAGTATCACAATATTCTGCAAAGATGAATACTTTACTATACCTACAACTAGACATTGCACTGAACAAAATAACTTTTACTAGAGCGATAAATTTGTTAATGTAATTTGCATTTGTAAACAGTTGATACTGAGCATGGTGTTTCTGCATTTCCGTTGATTTCATGTACCATGATAATAGAAGGGCCTGTGATGATAAAGAATCTGAGTATACATTTTTTTGTTGCCCAAGTGAAGTATAATTTAGCAGTTCAGCTGTCTTTACTACACTATAAGTTGTAGCATTGTGGTGAGGGTTATACAGGGTTTTATGTGTCCCATGTTGGGTTTTACCCACCGAGCCAAAGGATAAACAGCAACAATGTTGTCATTTTTTATTGATGTGAGGTCCACATGACTTGAATGTCATGAAGACACAAAACTGAAAAATGAAAACAGCTGACGTGACACTTAAGGAACAAACATAATGCAATATATCACTTAGTAAATGTCAACAGTGACTTACGCAACAGGATATGTATTTCATGGATGAAACTTTGCACACAGAAATATCCCTGGAATTACACCAAATTCTAAGAGAGTTGGATCTTGCTGATGTCGGTACTGCACCTAGTCTTTCCAAACATTTAGAGCCCACTGGTCATTCTGTTTGCGTTTTCTTAGGTATCGCTTCCTTTTGTTCTTGTTTGATATCACAGGATGATAGAGGAGGGACGAAACGACCATCACTTTCCTCATATTTTACAAAATTTTGAGATGGAATAGACAGCAACTGGGTTAGACTTGGAGCTTGTGTACATTGAACAGATTCAAAGTCAGTATTGCTGACAAGTTTGTCAAACAACAAATCAAAGTTCAGAGTTCTAAGTCAGAATCTATGTAGAGAAATCTTGCTTCACTGGCTCCGCCTCTTCTTAGCCACAAAGATTTCTCTGCATAGATTCTAACTATTACATAGCGCAAGTCTAGATATGGCACATCACTACCCTCAGACTTGACAAGTACAATGTATAACAGATGAAACAGTGTTGCACAATGTATAAGACTGCCCTCATGACAGATTCAGTTTGTTTATTTGCAAAGGGTACATGTAGGCCATCGGCCCATGGTACATAGATCATCATCATTACAGATATTACACTGAAAGGGCATAGGAGGTTTTGTTTATTTTGAAAACATGCTTTACAGTATACATGTATACATTTGGTTGAAATTGGTTCATCAGTATTATTTAAGTGTATTGGTACATATCACATTGGTCATGATGTATTGAAATTGTTGCTTCAATGCATTCTTACTTTCAACATGTTCAGCGACGGTGGGGTAGCCTAGTGGTTAAAGCGTTCACTTGTCATGCCAAAAACCTGGGTTCAATTCCCCACATGGTTACAATGAGTGAAGCCCATTTCTGGTGTCCCCCGCCGCGATATTGCTGGCATTTTGCTACAAGCGGCGTAAAACCAAACTCACTCACTCACTCAACATGTTCAACCAAATGTATCCATTTGGCACCCACAATGACTGTTGCTGATTCTGTGCATTCTTCTTGTGTGTAGGCTAAGGACAAACGCCATGCTTTGGAAGAAACGAAGAATTATACGACACACTCCCTGGCCAGTGTGGCCTACCAGATCAACAGCCTGGCAACCAACTTCCTGAAGCTCCTCGACCTGCAGCAGAACCAACTGGCTGAGATGGAGTCCAGTGTCAACCATTTGTCACAGGTACCTCCTACTCACTCACTGTCACCAGTGTCATGGGTTTGCACATCGTGATATAGGTTCCCCCCATCCAGCTCAAGTTGTCCTCAGTGTCTCATGCCCTTTGAATTTGGTTTTTGTTTATTGATGATTTTCACAGTATTCCTTAAAAATATATTGGTGTAATAATTATTCAGGATAAATCTAAAAGAATAATAACCCAGTAATGGCTGTTGGAAGTGCCAACAGAATTGAGGGGTATGACTCCTTGAGTACTTGCATGTCAACAATGTTAGCCCCACCCATATCAGTGTTGATGAACAGACTCTAATGCATGCACCCGTTTTTAAATTCTTATTGAAATAGTTCAATTGTTGGGCAAAAATTGTAAAATGTTGCTTGTTCATTGTGTTATTACACTCCTGTGATCAGCACAAAGTGGATTGCCAGGTCCTGGCTTTATAAACTGCAGGTAGTAGCAGTGAAGCTGTTGTGAAGTGCACTGGCTGGCCACTTAGCTCAAATCTGTACTGACAGTGACAGGTCACACAGAGGTAATGTCTACTGATTGGACACTGAGCTGTTGTCTACTACTGACTGAAGTCTAGTTTGCAGTATTGTTTGATTTCAAATTTATTTTATTATTTTTATCATTTCAGATAGTAAACATCCACAAGGAGAAAGTTGCAAGAAGAGAAATTGGTGTTTTGACAACAAACCGGAGTTCAACCCGGCCTATGGGAGTTAAGAGTGGTATTGTATTCCCTGAGCAGGCTGAACGACCAATCAAGTATACCCGCAAACCCATTGACTATACAGTGTTGGACGACATTGGCCATGGAGTGAGGGTAAAGTCTATAGTCATTGTTACTTTGGTTCCTCCTACATCATCTCTTTGTCAGTAGTAACTGATATCACTGAATACCCAGAGTGAGTTTCACCCCCATCACTTACAATGACATCTTGATCCAGACAATGTTATGTTAGCAGATCATAGAGAATAGTCACTCTTAACAAAAAAACGGCTTAACCATGTTATATGTCAAGAATAATGTTTCAATGGTACATTTGTCCAATCAACAGGCAAAAGTAAAGGTATTACCATGGATATAGACAGTAGCATGTGATTTTATTGTTTTCAGTTGCATTCATCTGTTCCGCCCAAATCGAACACCGTCAATCAGCAGCCAAGGCTCCCAAGCACCAACTACAAAACCTCCAACCCCACCCATCACTCGGTCTGGCTCCACTGCTAGCTCCAACTCAGGAACCCTTGGTCGGAGCCAGGGAGGCCATTATCGTTCCATCGCACCACCAGTGGCTCCACCGTCTGTGCCAGCCAATCAGCATCCACATTTTGGCCAAGTGATCCACCACCCTCCTCAACCAGGTCCCAGGGAGCGATATGAGATGAACTATGCCCCTAGTGTCATGGGAACAGTACACTCACCCCCGTTGGTCGGAATGGCACGTCCCATTTCACAAAGGCCTGGCCCTCCAGCATCTCCCAGTATGGTACGACCCACACAGCCACCGATGGCCTATCAAGATTCTGTTGGTATGTATGTTTGTACATGTTTACAGTGTATCAATCACTTGATTTCATTTTAGTCTGTTACAGGCTGCAATCATCGAGCTGGAATATTGTTGAGCTCATTATTTAACAAAGAGTGTATGAATTCACGGGCAGTATAAGTAAGCATGGTAACTGTACACAAAATGATATTTTGAAACTTAAATTCATTACTTTGAATCAAATTTTTATTTAAATTCTAAGTACTCTTCATGTGTAATAACTGGTTTTGCTTCTGGAGAGAATCCCAAAATGATGTTAGCAGGGCTCGATTTAGTGCTTTGTTACTTGCACTGGTGCAACTAAATATTACGAGGTGCAACCTAGTCTTACTTGCACCAGGTTTAGCTAAATGTTTGAGTGGGTAAACTTCTGAATAAAACATCTAAATGATTCAACAACATATTTATTTCATTACATATTGCAATAATTGTGGTTATGTTGAGCATGGGTCATAGGATAGCTTATTGTGCATTGTACTGATCGATAGGTAACCAGGTTCATGTTTTTTCCTTGTTTCAAAGTGTTCATATTGTCAACCATTGTTTTCTTTCACCCAGGCCAGTTTAAACCTTGAGGCTGATAATATAGCTGTGATATTACTGCCTCTGGATCAGAGGTACATTAAATCATCTGCTTGTGTAACAATTTGTCAGTCATGTTAGGATTCTGTATCTGTTCTGTCTCTTGTTCACTACAGCTCAGCTCCGATATGCCAGCCATGGCTGGAAAGGTGAGATTCCTCTTCCTCATTTTCTTCCTGCATGATTCCTTACCCTCTTCTCCTGTACTCAAGACTATTGTGACTGTAGACTAGAACATGCGTCTTCATGCATAGACAGAGCAGTGTATTCAGCAGCATGGTTTAGAGGATAAGCCACGAGCTATGTGGAATTATGGATCCTGGGTGAATGAATGTAATAATCACAGAGCCTTACAGCAGTCTGTAATTCTGTGTCTCCAGCATTCTACATGTTAGTCATTGATATTGTAAGAAAATCTGAAGAAAAAGTATGAACTGTCAATCCTACAGGGAAACTTCACTGAAGAGAGCCTACTGTTCAGATGACATAGAGCTATCAAATTGTGGGTTTGTTACATCACCAAAGATGATGTTATAATGTGTTTATGTTATATCTTAACAATGAAGCACTTTACTATCATGACTGACCAATCCTCATTGAGAATCCCTAACTGGCACATCCACAAATATCTGTAGGTTATTACACACAATCAATATTGGGTAATATTTCCAGTTTACCATGTTCCCCATGCTTGTTAGTTATACATGGGATACCTTAGTTTGGGTGAGCAGCCCACGCTGGTTGTACATGATGACCAAACGGGTCTGGTGGTCCTGGTGGTCCATAGATCATAGCTCACAGCTCACATTGATCATGGGATTGTCCAGATTTGATTAATTACAAGATGCTTTTATGTAGCTGAGGTGTTGCAGTGTCACATGCTGTGACTTAAGGACAGAATCCACACTGCACACACTCACACTCACACACACATTCTGTGACTTATTCTGTGTTGATTCCATGTCTGAATCCAAGACATTTTCACTTTGTCTTAGAACTGTGTGAATGGAATGACCAAACAGGTTCTCATTAGGACAGCAACTCTGCAGTGCATGTCAGATTGCTTTTTTCTGATTACTGATTTGTCAAGTTCTGCTTCCCTGGACTGCATGCATTTATCTCCCTTTGACTGTTACAGTGTGACTAGTGTAGTCTCTGGACTCATGTTACAAAGCATGGTTAACACTTTGACACACTTTGATCTACACAGTGCTATCATTGCTTTGTGACATATGGTGCTAGACCTTGTCTCAGAGATAGTACTGCTGCGTTAGCCCCAAGCCAGCAAGAACACGCATTATGTCTCCATTCTATTGTAACTACCCTGGACTCTCCTGTCATCATAAACAACACAGATATCCCAACAACACAGATATCCCAACAACACGGATATCCCAACAACACGGATATCCCCCAACACAGATATCCCAACAACACAGATATCTCCCAACACAGATATCCCAACACAGATATCCCAACAACACAGATATCCCAACACAGGTATCCCAACAACACAGATGTCCCAACACAGATATCCCAACAACACAGATATCCCAACACAGGTATCCCAACAACACAGATATCCCAACACAGGTATCCCAACAACACAGATATCCCAACAACACAGATATCCCATTGGAACACACACAGATATCAACAACACAGATATCCCAACACAGGTATCAGTCCCAACACACAGATATCCCAACACAGGTATCCCAACAACACAGATATCCCAACACAGGTATCCCAACACAGATATGCCAACTATCTGAGGCACCTCAGTCACTGTGCAGGATTGCTTCCATGGACATATCTTAAACCTGTTATTGTGGGTTCAAGTCTCAGTTCATCACAATTATTTTTCTAGATTTGCCAGCACCTTCCGACTTTCCTCCCACGTTGTGCTGGCATGTCATGATATAACAGAGATATGGTTTAAAGTAGTACTAAACCCATGTCACTCACTCACTTACTCTTTAGCTACCATTGCTTCTGTTGGAAAGGAACATCACCGTCTCTCTTAACTTGCCACTACAACTCAGTAATTTATAATAATGAACTTTTTGACATGTCTCATCACTGGTTTGGAAACATCAACATTCATGATGTGATGCAAGAGTTGCCTCCCCTACACAAGTGTCAGAGATATCTTTAGTTTGTCTCATTCAAATCAGACCCAAGACAAAACTTGTAAGAGGGTAGGCTGATGGTATACACTGGATGATGGAGAGTACCCCATACAGGCTGGATCCAGGTTTACTTTGTCAGTTTCTGTGCCAAGCCAGATCTGCCTTCTAATGACTCGGGCATGATCAGTGCCTGAGTAACACATATATAGCCAGACTTGGCCACATTCTTCTCATACAGGCTTTTGGTTTTGGTATATGTATTATATAATCTACTTCTCTTTCCATTTGCTTGTAGGTGTTGTGAATGTTGCATGATTGTGTATATTACAGATCCCCCGCCTCCGGACGTCAACCGCTCGGTCGATGTCATGACAATACCAGGTTTGCATGCTTCTATACTTCATCATCTTCTGGTGACTTCCAGTCTTTAAGCTACATTGGAGTTGTGAGAATTACTGTTATGCATGATTATGATGTAGATTGATGTACTCATTTAGTTTTGTTTGTAAAAATATGTAACTTGACATGTTTAGCCTAAATAAAGATAATAGTGCATGTTGCTTGGTTAGTGATAAGTCATCTGCTGCAAGGAGAGAGCCTTCTAATTAGTCATGCATACAGTCATGATCTCCTTCCTGACATCACAAACCAGTGGACCCGTGACGATCGGGGTTAGAATTGATCTTCAGTAACCCAAGCTTTTTTGGAATGGGGTGGTCAGGGTCACTGGCCTGGTTGACACATATCGTTGTATCCCACGTAGATCGATGCTTATGCTGTTGATCACTTGATTGTCTGGTCCAGACTTGATTATTTACAGTCCGTTGCCATATAGCTGGAATATTGCTGAGTGCAGCGATTAGAAACATTATATCAGCAACAAACCAACCACAAACCAGTGTGGTGGCAATTTGTGAACGGCCAAACATTATTTTGATTGTTTCAAGGATCATACCTTTGGGATTCAAGGTTATGATTGTTTTCATGCAACTTTAGCTTGCTAGAAGCATTAGCTGAGATAACTGGATGGCCAGACTTAGTGAAGTTGTTGGTGATGTGAAATGATCTTCATCATATCAACTACAGCTGTTTTCCAAATAATGTCTAAAATTATTTTGTGACCCACTTATATTTGTTGTTACTTATGATAATGACCTATGTATCTGACCTAGGATGTAACATGATAAGCAGACAATCACATGTATTAACAGGGATTTATGTAGGATTCCAAATGCACCACCCTAAGAAAAGATTAGGATAGTCTTAATCCAAGTCACTTTGACACAGTACTCAAAGCAATAGTGTGCATTATTTGTCATCTTTTCTCTTGGTCATGTTGAGATTTTTTTTCATATTTGTTGTATATTGGGGAACGACAGTCGGCCTTTAAACTGACAGAAAAATCCCTGATACATCACTTTTGAATTCTTGTTTGTTCGGATATATGACCTATGCCTGTGCACTTAGTCATGGATCATGACTGCCAACAGTTATATATGTAAACTACTATTTCAGCATCCCCACCACTCCCCCCTCCCCCAGAGCATGCCCGACCTGGCCCTGGTCCCCCCAAGTTTGAGTACGGAGGGTCAGCCCCTCCCCCACCCTACAACTTCAGTGATGACTACGAGGAGCATCCACGACAGAACCACCAGAACAAGGAAGAGGATCCCTACGCTGCTACAGGGCCGCAGTTCACGGCTCAGCCATTGTGGGTACCCAAAGAATACCAGGAGAAAGGTTAGTGATGCTTCATGTCACACCAGCATTGGCAGACTACAGACCTGTTGAGCCAGACCAGGGTAACGTGAGTAGTAGGGGTCTGTGACCTGTGGGGGCTGTCCAACAAGGCTGGCATGGAGACTCCAGAGTAAAGTGGGTAGTTGGAGGCTCGGACCTGGGGGGCTCTCCAACAAGGACCTGTAGGGGGTTGTCCAACAAGGCTGGCATGGAGACTCCAGAGTAAAGTGGGTAGTTGGGGCTCCGGACCTGGGGGGCTGTTCAACAAGGCTGGCAAGGGAGGAGACTCCAGAGTAAAGTGGGTAGTTGGAGGGAGGCTCGGACCTGGGGGGGCTCGGACCTGGGGAGTTGTCCAACAAGGCTGGCAAGGAGACTCCAGAATAAAGTGGGTAGTTAGGGGCTCTGACCTGGGGGGCTCGGACCTGTGGGGGCTGTCCAACAAGGCTGGCATGGAGACTCCAGAGTAAAGTGGGTAGTTGGAGGCTCGGACCTGGGGGGGCTCGGACCTGTGGGGGTTGTCCAACAAGGCTGGCAAGGAGACTCCAGAGTAAAGTGGGTAGTTGGGGGCTCGGACCTGGGGGCTTGGACCTGTGGGGGCTGTCCAACAAGGCTGGCAAGGAGACTCCAGAATAAAGTGGGTAGTTAGGGGCTCGGACCTGTGGGGGCTGTCCAACAAGGCTGGCAAGGAGACTCCAGAATAAAGTGGGTGGGTACCTGTGGGGGTCCAACAAGGCTGCATGGGACCTGTGGGGGCTGTCTAACAAGGCTGGCATGGAGACTCCAGAGTAAAGTGGGTAGTTGGAGGCTTGGACCTGGGGGGCTTGGACCTGGGGGCTGTCCAACAAGGCTGGCAAGGAGACTCCAGAATAAAGTGGGTAGTTGGGGGCTTGGACCTGTGGGGGCTGTCCAACAAGGCTGGCATGGAGACTCCAGAGTAAAGTGGGTAGTTGGGGGCTCGGACCTGTGGGGGCTGTCCAACAAGGCTGGCAAGGAGACTCCAGAGTAAAGTGGGTAGTTGGGGGCTCGGACCTGTGGGGGCTTTTCAACAAGGCTGGCAAAGGAGACTCCAGAGTAAGTGGGTAGTTGGGGCTCGGACCTGTGGGCTGTCCAACAAGGACTCCAGTGGGAGTAAAGTGGGTAGTTAGGGGCTTGGACCTGTGGGGGGCTGTCCAACAAGGCTGGCAATGGAGACTCCAGAGTAAAAACAAGGGGCTCCGGACCTGTGGGGGCTGTCCAACAAGGCTGGCATGGAGACTCCAGAGTAAAGTGGGTAGTTGGGGGCTCGGACCTGGAGGGGGCTGTCCAACAAGGCTGGCAAGGGAGACTCCAGAGTAAAGTGGGTAGTTAGGGCCTGTGGGACCTGGGGGCTGGGACCTGGGGGTTGTCCAACAAGGCTGGCATGGAGACTCAGAGAGTAAAGTGGGTAGTTGGGGGCTCGGACCTGGGTAAAGTGGGTAGTTGGGGGCCTGTGGGGGGTTGTCCAACAAGGCTGGCAAGGAGACTCCAGAGTAAAGTGGGTAGTTGGGGGCTCGGACCTGGGGGGCTGTCCAACAAGGCTGGCAAGGAGACTCCAGAGTAAAGTGGGTAGTTAGGGGCTCGGACCTGGGGGCTCGGACCTGGGGGGCTGTCCAACAAGGCTGGCATGGAGACTCCAGAGTAAAGTGGGTAGTTGGGGGCTCGGACCTGGGGGCTGTCCAACAAGGCTGGCATGGAGACTCCAGAGTAAAGTGGGTAGTTGGGGGCTCGGACCTGGACCTGTGGGAGCTTTTCAACAAGGCTGGCAAGGAGACTCCAGAGTAAAGTGGGTAGTTGGGGGCTCGGACCTGGGGGGGCTCGGACCTGTGGGGGCTGTCCAACAAGGCTGGCATGGAGACTCCAGAGTAAAGTGGGTAGTTGGAGGCTCGGACCTGTGGGGGGCTCGGACCTGTGGGGGTTGTCCAACAAGGCTGGCAAGGAGACTCCAGAGTAAAGTGGGTAGTTGGGGGCTCTGACCTGTGGGGGCTGTCCAACAAGGCTGGCAAGGAGACTCCAGAGTAAAGTGGGTAGTTAGGGGGGGGCTGGGACCTGTGGGGGTTGTCCAACAAGGCTGGCAGGCTGGCAAGGAGACTCCAGAATAAAGTGGGTAGTTGGGGGCTCGGACCTCCACCTGCAGGGGCTGTCCAACAAGGCTGGCAAGGAGACTCCAGAATAAAGTGGGTAGTTGGGGATGGGGGGGACCTGGGGGCTGTCCAACAAGGCTAGCATGGAGACTCCAGAGTAAAAAGTGGGTAGTTAGGGGCTCAGGACCTGGGGGCTCGGACCTGTGGGGGTTGTCCAACAAGGCTGGCATGGAGACTCCAGAGTAAAGTGGGTAGTTAGGGGCTCGGACCTGGGGGTCCAACAAGGCTGGTCCAACAAGGCTGGACCAAGGGGGGCTGTCCAGAGCTGGCAAGACTCAGGTAAAGTGGGTAGTTAGGGGCTCGGACCTGTGGGGGCTGTCCAACAAGGCTGGCATGGAGACTCCAGAGTAAAGTGGGTAGTTGGGGGCTCGGACCTGTGGGGGCTGTCCAACAAGGCTGGCAACAAGGCTGGGAGACTCCAGAGTAAAGTGGGTAGTTGGGGGCTCGGACCTGGGGGGGGCTCGGACCTGTGGGGGTTGTCCAACAAGGCTGGCAAGGAGACTCCAGAATAAAGTGGGTAGTTGGGGGCTCGGACCTGTGGGGGCTGTCCAACAAGGCTGGCATGGAGACTCCAGAGTAAAGTGGGTAGTTGGAGGCTCGGACCTTGGGGCTGTCCAACAAGGCTGGCATGGAGACTCCAGAGTAAAGTGGGTAGTAGATGGTCACAGTGTCTTCTTCTTGTTGAGAGCTGTTTCTACAGCTAATGGCCGTGAGTTAGTGAGCAGCCATGATGATGGTCCAGGAGGCTGTGTTGCACCTGGCCAGTGTATTCTTTGTGATGCATTGAGTTATTGTCAAACAGGGTCTGAAAGTTAATTCTGTGTACTAAATACATTTGGAGAAATTTAATTTGTGTTTTACGCCAAAGTGGGTAATAAACCAGTGAATAGTGGAATTGGGGCCATCCAACCTTCCATGTCATTGGTTAGTGACAAAAGCTTCTTGACAAACTAGCTGTAGCTCATCCTGCTTGAACAAGACTAGTATGCATTCCATGGTCATACTTTTCAGAGGCGGTGGGGTAGCCTAGTGGTTAAAGCGTTGGCTCGATCACGACGAAGACCCGGGTTCGAATCCCAACATGGGTACAATGTGTGCAGCCCATTTCTGGTGTCCCCGCCGTGATGTTGCTGGAATATTGCTAAAAGCGGCGTAAAACCAAACTCAGTCAGTCAGTCAGTCATACTTTTCATCAGTTGCCCCAGATGCTGTCATTCAGGGAGAACTCCTGTCATGGGACTAGTCCTCAGCACAATTTAGTTGTCTCAGGCTTCCTGACCAGCTGGAATTTCAAACACACAATTGGCCATGTCACAATCTCTTTTGTCAGTTATAAACTATCCTTCCCCAAAATGGCAAAATACACCAAGTTGAGTTGTGAGTTGAGTTGGGTTTTACGTCACATCGGTATTATTCCAGCCATATAGTGATGAGAACAAGTTATACACCAAGAAGACAGACAAACTAACATGGAAATGTAATGTTTCAGTGGTGGCGATATTTGACTATGATGCTGACAAGGGAGACGAGCTGACATTTTCTGAGAATGCTGTCATCTATGTGATAAAGAAGAATGATGACGGCTGGTGGGAGGGTGTGATGGACGGCACCACAGGGCTGTTCCCCTCCAACTACGTGGAACCCTGCATCTGACCTGTCTAGCGCCACAGTCACTCACAGACAACCAGAAGGGGAATCTCACCTGCTTTATATTCTGTAACATTCAGACCCAGTTGTTTTGTCACAGGTGTAGAGTCGAACCATTTGTTTATACGCACATATTTATCTAATAACTACTTAAAACTTTAGACACCTTAACATCGTTTTATGAAAGTTGATACCTTCAACTTCAGTTTCACCTCTTTGATATTAGTCAAAAGACCATTTTTAAGTGGTCATTAATTTGTTAATACTCGTAACTTGATTGGTACGAAAGGTAGCTAGATCCCTGTTGTGGCTGTCTTCCAGGTATTTTGACATGACAAGTATTACAGTGAATATATCTGATCTTACTATGAACTTACATTTCACCATTACATATTTAATCATAATTACATCTTGAATCAATTGTTACTTTTTTAATATAAGCTTTATAAGGGTATACATGCTTTTACTGCTTTTTATGTGCATAAACATGTTTTGTTATTTTCTGAGACTTTTTAGTCACAATTTATGTTTGTATTGATTTATATCTGTCAGCTGTCAGTTGCATTGAGTCATATATTAGATATTATATTGTTTCATGTTTATTTTATGTGTATATTTTTACAATCACAAGTCAGTTTTGTTGCAATATTCAAGATAATCATATGTTAGTTATATGTTAGTGTCATTGTACTTTAGTTTGTCCTTTCAATTTAATCAAAATATCTGCTCAATATTAAAGTAGGATATAGGCATCTTGTTGGTCTTGGTAATTGCAGTTGCCTACAGCACAGGTCCCCCGCCTCCCTCTACACCTGTAATTTTTCAAAGAACATGCAGGCTCACACTCAACTCTCGCACATTCTGTCATACATTCTTCAGTGTTAGTGAACACTTGTATCCTGAACTTTGTTTTTTGTGTTTTGAGGGGAAGTACTTGTTCTGATTGCCAACTTTGATCTCTAGTTTATCAACAATGGTGTTGTGATCATATATGATTAATGACAACTAAGATATTTCTCTTTTCTTGATATTTTTGAGAAACATTGGAACACAGTTTAAAATATTAAAGGAAGCATCTTTTAAAATCATCTAGCTGTTTTCAGCAATCGTTGTGCCAGGACAGTTAGCCTAAGTTTCCAAAGTTTCGATTGTTGTGTCATGATACAGAACAGGACTCTGTTCCACAGGTAGTACAACTGAATATCTCCATGAAGTTAGACTTTGTTTCAGTCTACTTCAGAATGTTTCACTTCGTATGTTTGGTCATTATTAAACTATTGGATGTTTAAGATCTTGTTTTCACTCACTGCAATAACTTATGAAATGATGTGTGAATACAATGCCAGAGGAAACCACTCTAATTAGTAGGTAGTGCTAAATGATTTGAAGCCATGTTTGTGTACAGAAACATGCATATGCTGAGAAAAACCTATCTGAACCTATTGGAAACCTAAGGCCATTGTTCATGAAGAAAGTTTGTTGATGCATGAGATTTATTAATAGTAGTTCTTACTTGGGTACCTTATTTGCATATTTATCATTGTATTTTATGGCTTTGCCTCATCAGTAATACTCCATTATATAATAAAGATATGTAATGTCTGATAAGATGATGGTAGTACTCCATACCACTAGATTAGTTTAATCTCTGAACACCATACAGAAACTGCATGTGCTTGAGGGTTATCTCCCTTTATCAGTTCCCCCCCTCAGCATGTAATAGGGTGGTGAGCCAGGTTAAAGATAATAGTCTGCTGTTAGTCTTAGTATTTAAGTCTTAGTCTTAGATCACATTATTGAAGTGGGCCTGCCTGTTTGCAGCAGGTGTCCATGTACAGTGCTGTGCTGGTTAGATCTCTAGGCCCACCACAGTCGTGTCTGAAAGTTTTGTGTGACATTTACATCAAGCATAATAAGTAATGATGTAGCTAAGTCTGATAGCTTTAAAGATTTGTAGATATTTGCTGCATTTCTTAGGTTGATATGTGACTGGATATCTCATGTAGTAATTACAGTTCAGTAAATATGTCTGTAAACTGTGCAATATTTTAATCAAAGATTGTTTGTGCAAATGCAAGTCAAAACAGTTCGTGATTTTTAATGGTATGCTTTCAACAATATTTGAAATGTAGCTTCTGCTTGTCAATCAAACTGAAGGTGATGAATGTCAGCTTGTAGTGTCTGCTGTATGTAGGGTACCCTGTAAATGGCATGTAGGCACTACAAGTCACACTATGAACATTGTATATATCAATATATATATATATATATGTCATCAGTAGTTAGGACCAATGTTGCTTACACTCACAGTTTGAATAGATACAGCTGAACCTTGTCAATCTGGACCTTGCTAATTCTAACTTACTTAGATGTACTGTTATGCCTCTTGTATGATTTGTGACTTTCTGATCTCCATGCAGAGTTTTAGTAGCAGTAGTTGATCTAGAAAAATGTACATATGACAAAATGTAGGAAAATTGCTTTGGTTGAGAAGACAACTGACAAGTTGTCTGTTGAATATGTGCCCACAGTTTGATGGTCACTTTCTGTTTTGAGTTTTATGATGACGAAGCAGAGGTTCAAAGTTAAAAAAAATTCAGCCATGAGCAGAATTACATCCTCTATGGAATATTTCCAAGATATCATACAACCACTTTTTATCTCATGAAATGGGGAATTTGTTATTATAGTTCCAGGACAGGACAATAATAAGTGGGTGGGTGGATATTTATCATCTTTGTGCAGGATGCGAAGGGAGATGAGTCTGTGATGTCTGATTAACGGACATTCTTCCATAGCCAGGAGTTTTCACTTTGGCCTGAGTTATTGGTTAGTTCCAATACTGGCACTGTCCAGGTAACTGAGATTCTACTCTTCACGGGTGGACAGACTCTTCATTGATGTGTGGCATCCTCCCAAACTGCTGGTAAATGTGGAAAAATGTGTATTTTGTAATTATTAGTATAATTACACTAACCAAGGCTGTTAGTTGATCTGGTCTGGTTATGTTATGTTTGTGCTCCTGTATTACATCTCTGAAGTTAGAGTTGTTTCATTACAGATAAAATTCTTTTGCAGATCATTGCTCAGTTTTGTCTGTGCAAAATAGCTTTTGACAATTTCTTAACTGCAATTGCATATGATATTAAATGATGTTTACATATGATAGTATTTATGACTATAAAATGGTATGTTTATGATCTAGTCAGAACCGAATACATGTAATTACATTTTGTGTTTCAGTTGTGTCCATTAGTTTACCTAATGTTAGAATTAAAGTTAACATTCTAAAGTTGTGAGCCATGTATTTATTGGAGTGCTATAAACATGGCCGACATGAGAGACACTACTGTACAGCAACTCCCAGGTTTACTTTACTTCTGTGCCATTTCTAGTGTTATATTGGAACTGAGTAATGGTTTTGTTATTTCAGTTTGTTTTCATTTACACTTTTTTATGAGTCCCTTATTTGCTAAATTTGATGGCAGCATCAGTGCTTCAGCATCAGTGTTTCAGCATCAGTGCTTCAGCATCAGTGCTTCAGCATCAGTGTTTCAGCATCAGAGCTTCAGCATCAGAGCTTCAGCATCAGTGCTTCAGCATCAGTTTCAGCATCAGTGCTTCAGCATCAGAGCTTCAGCATCAGTGCTTCAGCATCAGTGCTTCAGCATCAGAGCTTCAGCATCAGGGCCTCAGCATTAGCTCCAGCCTGGAGATAAGTTGTAACACTGTTGGTGTGCCCAGTACCTACACAGTCAGAGACATATTTATACTTTGTAACAGTATGTCCCATCTCTATATGTTGGCAGCAGTTATGTGTTACTGGTTCCAGCAGTTACCATGGGTAAAGTCTTTAGACTATTGTGAGGAACTGCACTATGACTTATCTTGGTCAAGCAGTTCAAGTGTCAATCTTGTTTTAATTCATTTCATATTTTTTAAGACTCTTTTAATATTCTGTATTTCCCCATTGTGTAGTGTGTTCCATCTTGACTCCCAACACTGCATACCAGCATTCGGTAGTGTATGTGGATATAGAAGAGAGAGGATTGGTTGCTGTTACTATCAGTGTCATAAAGTTATCTGATGTTAACTGTTGTTGCTAGGCTGATACAATTCACACTGATTCAGCATGATATTATTCTAAAGGATGAGGTTCACTATTTGCTTTATTTTGTATAAGTGTCTATAATTTCAAAGCTTTTAATTTCAAATTTCAACTGTTTGACTTTGGCAATTTCAGCTCAGTTACTGTTTTATAGTTTCCCAGTTACCTATATATCAATGTCCGATATCAGAATGGTATAAAGATAAACATCGGACATCAAAAGGACATATAGACAAATATATCTGCCTTTTGGTGTTCTGTGTTGCATCAGGGGCGGTGGGGTAGTCTAGTGGTTAAAGCGTTGGCTCGTCACGCCCAAGACCCGGGTTCCAATCCCCACATGGGTACAATGAGTGAAGCCCATTTCTGGTGTCCCCCGCGGTGATATTGCTGGAATATTGCTAAAAGCAGCGTAAAACCAAACTCAGTCAGTCAGTCTGTGTTGCATCAAAACTAAATAAATGAAGGCAGTATTGTTAGTGCATCCTGGTATCATGTATCCTGACTTCTGAATGGCTTGAAGCTTTCATACACGATGGAAGTGTCAACACACGTTACAGATAACACTGACTATTTCTTTCTTTTCATACAGATCTCATTTGAATACTGTTTGTATTTTGCTTACGTTTTTCCATGAAAATAATCAATATTTGAAACTTACTCAGTGGTAAATAATGACATTGTTAATGAATAGCCAGTTTCAGATTTAGCAATGAATGAGTGGATATTCACAGTGTCACTGCTAGCTGTGATGACCAAGCATTGATGAACCGATACTGGACACACCTCCACAATAGCTCGTCACTGCTTCACAGTGGTGCAGCCCACCTGTTAAAGCTGTTGTCCTGATTTCCCAAGTGTGACTGTGTTTGTCCCCCAGCAGTGATTTGACAGGGATACAGCTGAAACCCATTTCGCTCACACAGAGAAACATGTTATCTGACGCTTATGCTTTAATACTGACCAAGAACTATATTGCCTAGAGGAACTGGGTACGTACAAAATCTTACATGGTTTTGAGAAGGTGTGTAACAATTCATTATTTGTTTACGAATATTATTGGTTGGTTTCCGAACGTTTTACAAATGTTTTGGCATAAAATCCACTGTTTATGGATTAAAATAATATTCAAATTAATAATATTTTTCAACTTCTAAACTGGTACTTTTGCTACTCAATTTCAAAGGTATTACTCCCCTTTGTTTGAGTAATAAGTTAGTCAGCACCATACAACATGAAGCGCTCTGACAGACACTGTCCATAACTACTCACCCCTGATTACAAACCATTTTAAGCCAGGCAACTTCACTGCTCATGCTACAAAATTATTCTGTTTCACTGTTCTCTTCTTATTGAGGATGTGGTGATGTAAGGAGACAAAGATTGCTGAATGTTATCCCAAGACGATGTTGAGTAACGTATTTACAGTTGTCAACGTGTCCCTCGCTGCAACCGGACAAGTTGCCCTGTGTAGTGTTTCGAGAGATATTAACTGATGGCAGTTATTTGTGAACGTAAGTTGTGAACGTATATTTATACCATTGCAGCTAGTTTATGCTGGGCATTTACCTACCCCTGACATCCGTTGATGTAACTTGTTGGTGGCTGACTCCCTCTTGTGTAGAAGGGAGAAGTGCAATGTATCATCCTTTAGTGTCGTATAACATCACACATCATACATGTATTTACATTGGACATGGAACCTTTGGAATAAACATAACAAAGTCTGATGTTGTATTTGTTTTTCAAGTCGGCCAGCATTAGAGCCGTCACGCCCAGTGTGTCCGTGTTAACCCAGCACTGAAGATGAAGACCCCATGATACGTGATACCATACGACGGACAGCTGTCATTTGGAATCCTTTGTTGGTTGCTGAAACAAGACGTCCTCATCTCAGCATCAACAGTTACTTTTTATGAAGCAGATACTCGTGCTTGGGGTAATCGTTGCTTGTGGCAAGAGGCACCTACTCGCTTGGTTGGTTTGTTGTTTACGCCGCACTCAGCAATATTCCAGCTATATATGGCGGCGGTCTGTAAATGATCGAGTCTGGACCAGACAATCCAGTGATCAGCATCATGAGCATCGATCAACGCAATTGGGATACGAAGGCGTGTGTCAACCAAGTCAGCAAGCCTGACCACCCAATCCCGTTAGTCGCCTCTTACGACAAGCATGGGTTGCTGAAGACCAATTCTAACCCGGATGTTCACGGGCCCCACGGATCGGGTGTTAGGCTGTGTCTCAGCATGTCATCCTACGCCAGCAGCGGGGATTGTTACTCGCAGTATCAGTAACTGGATTGTCTGGTCCTAACGCGATTATTACACAACTCCGGCAATAACAGCAAAATTGATGATAACTTTGAAATGAATCGTCCCAGTGACGGTTGATTGTGTTTCATTGTACCCAGGCGTTGTGGAGCGTTTTCATAATATCAACCAATGGTTTGTCAGACCCAAATTCTATTCTCTGGAATAGTGTTGAATGCGCAAAACGTACTCTGCTAGCGCACTGTAGACTGACGGCATGGTCCGGGAGAAGTGAACCAGTTGGAATCACGACACAAGGTGTGATACGCGAAGACTTCAATTACTGACACTATTCCGCAAATGACGGGTTCAAGTACCGCCCTGACTCGGCATCCATTAACCAGCCATCAGATACCCAATGGGACCGCCTCCGTGGTGTAGTGGTTAGAGCGTGCGCCCGGAGAGCGGAAGGTCGCGGGTTCGATCCCCGGCCGCGTAATACCAAAACACGTTAAAATATGGTACTTGTTGGTCCCTGCCTGGCTCTCGGCATTAATGGGTACAACAAGGACTGGTCGGCTCGGAGTCCGTATACTGTGTCTGAGTGGGGTATTCATGCTTAACTGCGGCATGGCATCTCAGTGAGCTTGCACTATAAAACCAGCTGAAGTCTGGGCTAGTACAAACAGCCACACATACACACGCATGCACGTCGTCATATAAGCGAAATATTCAGAAGTGCGACGTTAAACCCTATTTCACCTCACCTCATATACCCAATAGTAAAGATGTACATTGAGGTAAGATATAGTTTGTAGTTCTGCAGTGTATACTCACCAAACAGAGACCCAGTGTACCCGAACCAATCCCAGCAGCCCTGGGGGTTCGTCGCCGTCGAGATTACTTGCGGGTACAGGATGATGATGTTGTTCAGGTCGCCGACCTCGTCGTAACCTGCGTGGCGTACATACTCCTCACCCACAAACATCCTACAGTGAAGTATGGGCACCGAGTTACAATTACATTGAACGACGCTATTGATATCTGTGGATATACTCCTCACAAATACATAAGCAACAAGTATTTTCAGTGTAATATCTTTATCAATCTCGATAGCGATTTTTGCCGACATGTTACTGAAAGGTAAATATTCAAAGAATACATAACCTTAAGTGACTGTCAAACTGATTTATCTGATAACTTTGACAACATCACCCAACCACAACCATGCACCCTCAGAAACATGCTAATTGTGTGGCATGAATGTGCTCCACTCTTCACACATGCACCCTGATCGGTGTAAACTTACCTGTAATCATTCCTCTGGTACAACAAGCAGGTCCTAACTTCAGTTTTATGGATGATAATGCCCGTCCGTGGATGATAATGCCCGAGAAAGAGTTGTTAACGATTTTGTTCAGATCAACAATATCACACATATGGACTGGCCTGCAAGGTCATTTGATCTTAATCTCATTGAACATGCTTGGGACATTATTGGAAGTCGTATTTACGGTCTCCATGTTCATCCCCAGACTCTGGATGACCTTGAGCAGGCGTTACAGAGAGAATGGCAGAACATTGCACAACAGCAACTTTAAAGGCTCATTTGGTCAGTGCAAAGACGTGTAGAAGCTTGCATTTGTGCTCATGGTGGTCCTACGCGTTACTGAACACCCCTTCACTGTCCAAAACTGACTTGAACCTTAATGTTAACATTTTGCTCCATCAAAGCAGCACATTTTGCACGACTGTTTCGCGGGTACATGCTTCTGATGATTTGTAAGTCTATTATTGCTCAATACCATTTCATTTCAATTTATTAATCGTGTGTAGATATGTTTCACCTTTCTATTGCATCATTCCATGATTTGCAATTTCAAAAATGAAAATGTAATGAGACTACAAATTTGTGTTGCTGAACTTTCTGTGAGGAGTATATATCAGAATGTTGACTGTAACCTGGACAGTATAGACGCGCGCGCACATACACCCAGTTGCTCTTAATGCTCACCTTCCCATTTTACATCCATGGAACGCAACGTGCAGTTTGCATTCTGAAACGAGACCACGATGTATGAATTCTTTTTCACCACCACCACCAACACACACAGAGGCGTGGGCACGTCGTCTATGGGTCTTTCATTGCATGTCATGCGTCGTTTTACAAAACAATCATTATAAAAAAGTGATTATTAATAAATACGGTAGCACCATGCATTCTCTCGTAGTGCCGTTGTTACGGATAGACGTACTGTGTTGCTTGTTGGCACATCCACTCGGAACATAGATGTAGCCAACATTGTCCATGCTGTAGGCGGACGGAAGCGCCAAATGAAAGAAATCAGCCTGGTTGAACTGTAAAAGCTGAAGATAGAACATGGTTTGTGTAAATGTAAAACTGTACATGCAACTATCATTATGTTTCCTTAAAACATAATTTCATTTTGTTGAAAAGGGCACCTGTTCGTAGCTTGTTTCTTCTTGAAAACATAGCGACCAGTCTCTCCTATACCGAGCGGTTCATTTGTGTTCTTTATATCTGTGGTATTTCAGAGGAAAACCTTCGCAAAGAAAGCTGGTTGTACAGCTGAGGTAGACAGTGGATTATTCTTACGAAATGCATATGCGATGTCTCTGATATTATTCGTGTGGCAATAATATTGAACACATCTGTCATAAGTACAGCGGTGTTCTGTATCGTAATATGTTGGGTTCACTGACCTGTCCATTTGCTTGTATCTTTGAGTTTGGTGCCTACGGGAAAGAAATTAAAAGACGTTCAATAATCACACAGCGATACCAGGTTTTACACCAGCACAGTCACAGGGACAGAGTGACACAAATATCTAGAAGAAACATCATTGTGTACTTTCACTCTGTATACAAGTACAGAACATATGGAAAACGTGTGTATAAAGAAACCTCGGAGCCTCTTAGCGCATGACCAAATGTACAGAATCTGGACCGGCGTGAGTCAAGGATCTGTTCTAACCTGGAACGCCACAGGGAGAGAATCATGAGGTACTTGGGATCTGTTCTAACCTAGAACGCCACATTGGGATCTGTTCTAACCTGGAAGCTCATGGTGAGACAAACACCACTCTTGATGAGAAACTAGTTACGGATTTAGACAGCCACCATAAATTTTGTCTAGCACTACAACGTTGGTGTCATACCACACGTGCCTGTAAACTGTACATTCCTCTGTTAAATATAAGTAATTCATTACTACGTCTGTACATGGTTGTAACCTGAAGTCCGCCGTAGATGTGGTTGAGGAGTTGGAAGGCGGCGGAGTAGTTACAGTTGTTGAGGTAGGTTTTCGAGTTCAGTTGATCACATGCTCCACCGTAGTTCAAGGTCGGCTGTAAGAAACACGAAAGGGAGCTCCATCTAGATGATGCATACTTATATCTTACACATGTACCTTGTGATATATACTTAGGAGCTTTTGGGGACACGTTCCTGGAGTTGCGCCCCTTGCCCGTGGTTAAGGGAGATAACTGAGGAATGTTGCCCATTGTTGAATGACTAAATATTCGGCTTGAAATTGGTACTCGTGTAAGAACAGTGTAAACTGATCTAAGAGTACCGTAACGTCATAGTGCTGGGACGTAAGACCGTATATAGGCCTACTGGTTTGTGTAAACATGTTAACCATTTCGAGCTTAGATATGAAGCCTTCCTCAAACCATAAATCACATTCATACTAGTCAAAGGAAACCGTCGGTGGCGTTTAAAAGCGTAATGAGTAACGGTTTCCACGTTACCTTCAGCGACGACACAAAGAGTAACGAAATCCACGTCATCCACTACGACGACACAGACTGAAGGTTTCAACGTCACAAACAACGACGGCACAGAGAGTTACGGCGTCTGTATCATCTGTAGCAGAGACTTACCATGCCGTGTTCGGCGTTGATGTTGAACACCGTCTTGATGTGAGAGCTGGTCATGTAATGGCTGTAGTACTGAGCCACCTTCTGACCAGCGACTGGGGGAATAGAACAGACGTGGGTGTGACATCCTGGCAATATCGTAGCGAGCACACAAGAAAAAAGATGTATACGATTTACCAATGATGGCGTCGAACAAAGATCATCGGTGGGACGCTGCCAATCACTCAGCCAGTCTGGATATATTATACAGTATTGTGAGTTAGGGCCTGGGGTAGCCCAGTGATTAGCGCCATACCGAAGGCCTTGGTGTGTTGCCCCGCATGCCTTCACTGTAGTATATCCGCCGTGAAATTACTGGTAGATTGGTAAAACCAGGATACCTTCCCTTTATTTGCTTGTTACTTTATACGTGATAAATAAGAACATGTGCATATACTAGGTGGACATGCAATATACCCGTTCTGGGAAAGTGCATTACCTGGGTTCACTACAGAGTCTCTGGTGCCGTCAAAGATGAACACCCGGTCGTTCCTCATGTGGTAGGTGGCGTCGACGTTACCAAACAACGCTCCTGATGACGTGATGGCCTCGAGGGCGGTGACGCTGATCCGGGTGGGAGTCATCATGCACGTCCCTAGCGCCGTGGCAGCCAGTCCCCCGGAACACATGAAGGGGGCTGCCGGAGAGGGCGTTATACATACATCTCAGGGGGTTGGGGGTGGGGGATGCCGACACATCGTATCTACGCATTTGGAATTTCATATTCTTACGAGGCATCCCTGTTGTGGTGCAGTAGTGACATGGCTAACGAGTCCGGATACTACATATTTTTATCGTTTAACTTCTTTCAGAGGCATTTTAGAAGTTGTAAAGATGAAAGAAGACCAAGTTCTATGGATAGTTAACTTCTTTATTGCAATGAGTCCGATGTTTCGGTGTAGGTACTATCAGACTTGCTTGATAACGATGTTAGTACCTACACCGAAACGTCGCACTCATTGCAATGAACAAGTTGACTATCCATAGACCTTGGTTTTTCTGTTTTATTGTCTAAAACAAAATACCAATGTCATTCTCTTGATGAACATTAGCGACTCCGTATCCCAGTAAGAGTTTCACATAATACAAACAGTAAGGCATTGTGGTGTTTGGTTCCTGAATAACATTACACATAACATGATGCTGAACAAGTTACAACAAAGACACTTAGTGATACGCGTCTTCACATTGCAGAGAATCTACCTACAAGATCATCTCGATTTGACCTGATAATGACTTCTTCATGAGGTAAAGGTATGTTAATGTTTGTACCACCTCGCTTGGTTTTATTCTTGATCATAAACGTAAAGAGCTTTTGCATACATCAAGTCAAGGGCAAAGATATCATTTCTCACTTGTCATTTGTGCTGGTGTTTTACTCCTCTCCTGAACTTCAAACGTACTTACATTGAACTTTTTTCCAAACTCAACTTTCAGCTATATTATGTTATCTGCTATGTTTTATTGTATGGTCTCTGCTGGTGTATATTATGGAGAAATAATAGTCGCTTTTATATTAGGCTCAAGTGGAACAAAGATTTGACGAGTTTTGCCTACACCAAACTGTCCAAGTCTGTCTTGTACACAGTTAAAGGGGAACGTATACACCCATGTTGAGCGAGTGAGGGAGTGAGTTGGGTTTAACGCCGTTTTTAGCAATATTCCAGCAATATCACGGCGGGGGACACCAGAAATGGGCTTCACACATTGTACCCATGTGGGGAATCGAACCCGGTCCTTCGGCGTGACGAGCGAACGCTTTAACCACTAGGCTACCCCACCGCCCCACACCCATGTTGAAGTGACTATAAACGAACCAAGCAGGAATGGTCAGTCGACGGTGCAATATTCAACATGTGTATCCCAGTTATGTTTTGAACGTTTGCAGTTTTTTTCCACAACTGTTTTCAGGGTTGTAACATTCTTAATAATGGTTGTAATGGTAGCTCCAGTCAGTTTTCCAGGTGCATACTTTCCTCTGCCCAGAAAGTTCTATAAGCAATATATACTCCATAGTCAGACATACTCCACTTATCAATCAAACAATGCGATCAAATCTACTGTGAGGTTGTCAAACATTTAACATGGCAATAAGCACTCCGTCAAGTGACTGAGGCTGGCGTTGATGTCGCTGATGAGGTTACCTCCAGCTATGATGCCAGCTCCCATGACCTCCCTGGAGTGCACAACGTGGTACTGGGTGGCCATACACGCGCCAGAGGAGATGCCCGACACTGACACCTTGGCTCCGTCAACGTTGTACGACGCTGGAACACACTGAGGCTGACTGAACACACGGTTTACATTTGGAATAATATTAGGGACTGAGTAAGTATGGTTTTACGCCGAAGCAAATCAATATCACGGCGGGGACACCAAAAATTGGACTGAGTCACTGACTGAGTATGGTTTTACGCCGCTTTTAGCAACATTCCAGCAATATCACGGCGGGGGACACCAAAAATGGGCTTCACACATTGTACCCATGAGAGGAATCGAACTCGGGTCTTGGTCGTGACGAACGGACGCTTTGAGCCACTAGGATGCCATGGAATAATATTAAAAACACTGGACCCCCTTTTGAAAAGAAAACAGTCAATGTTTATTATCATTAACAGTGATTTGTAGTCGCCAGATTTGAGATGTAACAGGAAATTTACTGACAGTGACGTAAAACTCGCTTACACGCACTCTTTCTGTGACTCATACTAACGTGGAATGGCTCTGAACAGTAGATAATAATACAATAAGTGTATCTACGTAGAAAATAGTATATACATGGGGTAAGGGAAAGCGAATACAACCATGTGCAGAGTTACATCCCTTGAGCGTGTAAGAATCCAAAGCTTTCTGGTTTCAGTTCTAGACTGACCTTGATTATATATAAGGATTTGCCTGCACCATACCCGTTCTATAGAGCATTTAACCGAAGTGGTAAACATCTGATATCCGCATAACATTCTCCGAAATTGCGCAGCCACGCATTAATAGAACTGTACAATACTGTTCAAACGGCGCTACATCACACGAACTCCCTATAGCACGTACATGCCGTGATGGTGACTGGTGTACTCACCTAGTCGGGGCACGGCGTGTACTGATGTACAACAGACTGCTGTACTCACCTAGTCGGGGCACGGCGTGTATTGATGTACAACAGACTGCTGTACTCACCTAGTCGGGGCACGGCGTGTATTGATGTACGGCGGAGAACTGCTGCTGCTCACCTAGTCGGGGCACGGCGTGTATTGATGTACAACAGACTGCTGTACCCACCTAGTCGGGGCACGGCGTGTATTGATGTACAACAGACTGCTGTACTCACCTAGTCGGGGCACGGCGTGTATTGATGTACAACAGACTGCTGTACCCACCTAGTCGGGGCACGGCGTGTATTGATAGTCGGGGTCAGGGGCACGGCGTGTATTGATGTACAACAGACTGCTGTACTCACCTAGTCGGGGCACGGCGTGTATTGATGTACAACAGACAGTCGGGGCACGTGTATTGATGACAACAGACTGCTGTACTCACCTAGTCGGGGCACGGCGTGTATTGATGTACAACAGACTGCTGTACTCACCTAGTCGGGGCACGGCGTGTATTGATGTACAACAGAACTCACCTAGTCGGGGCACGCGTGTAGTCGTACAACAGGGCAGTCGGGGCACGGCGTATTGATGTACAGACTGCCGTACCCACCTTCACCTAGTCGGGGGGGCAACGGCGTATCGTGTATTGATGTACAACAGGGTACTCACCAGTCGGGGGCGTGTATTGATGTACAACAGACTGCTGTACTCACCTAGTCGGGGCACGGCGTGTATTGATGTACAACAGACTGCTGTACTCACCTAGTCGGGGCACGGCGTGTATTGATGTACAACAGACTGCTGTACTCACCTAGTCGGGGCACGGCGTGTATTGATGTACAACAGACTGCTGTACTCACCTAGTCGGGGCACGGCGTGTATTGATGTACAACAGACAGCTGTACTCACCTAGTCGGGGCACGGCGTGTATTGATGTACAACAGACTGCTGTACTCACCTAGTCGGGGCACGGCGTGTATTGATGTACAACAGACTGCTGTACCCACCTAGTCGGGGCACGGCGTGTATTGATGTACAACAGACAGCTGTACCCACCTAGTCGGGGCACGGCGTGTATTGATGTACAACAGACTGCTGTACTCACCTAGTCGGGGCACGGCGTGTATTGATGTACAACAGACTGCTGTACTCACCTAGTCGGGGCACGGCGTGTATTGATGTACAACAGACAGACGCTGTACTCACCTAGTCGGGGCACGGCGTGTATTGATGTACAACAGACGCTGTACTCACCTAGTCGGGGCACGGCGTGTATTGATGTACAACAGACTGCTGTACCCACCTAGTCGGGGCACGGCGTGTATTGATGTACAACAGACTGCTGTACTCACCTAGTCGGGGCACGGCGTGTATTGATGTACAACAGACTGCTGTACTCACCTAGTCGGGGCACGGCGTGTATTGATGTACAACAGACTGCTGTACCCACCTAGTCGGGGCACGGCGTGTATTGATGTACAACAGACAGCTGTACCCACCTAGTCGGGGCACGGCGTGTATTGATGTACAACAGACTGCTGTACTCACCTAGTCGGGGCACGGCGTGTATTGATGTACAACAGACTGCTGTACTCACCTAGTCGGGGCACGGCGTGTATTGATGTACAACAGACGCTGTACTCACCTAGTCGGGGCACGGCGTGTATTGATGTACAACAGACTGCTGTACCCACCTAGTCGGGGCACGGCGTGTATTGATGTACAACAGACTGCTGTACTCACCTAGTCGGGGCACGGCGTGTATTGATGTACAACAGACGCTGTACTCACCTAGTCGGGGCACGGCGTGTATTGATGTACAACAGACTGCTGTACTCACCTAGTCGGGGCACGGCGTGTATTGATGTACAACAGACTGCTGTACTCACCTAGTCGGGGCACGGCGTGTATTGATGTACAACAGACTGCTGTACTCACCTAGTCGGGGCACGGCGTGTATTGATGTACAACAGACTGCTGTACTCACCTAGTCGGGGCACGGCGTGTATTGATGTACAACAGACGCTGAGTACAAGACAGTGGAGCAGTCTGTCCGACACTGACAACGCCATTGTCGTAGAAAATCTGAATAAGGTGAAACACCAGAGATTGCCAGAAAGATAAGATATGAACCAGATAACCACTGATATATGACGTCAACGTTAATGTTTGCACTCGGTGTTCCGATATGAGTGAGTGAGTGAGCTTGGTTTTACGCCGCTCTTAGCAATATTCCAGTAATATAACCAGAAATGGGCTTCACACATTGTACCCCTGTTGCGAACCGAACAAGGGTCTTCGGCGTGACGAGTGAACGCTCTAACCGCTAGGTGTTCCGATGAGTGCGTGAGTGATTTTGATTTTACGCCACTGTTAGCAATATTCCAGCAATATCACGGCGGGGGACACCAGAAATGGGCTTCATACATTGTACCCATGTGGAGACCCGAACAAAGGTCGCTCTAACCATTAGGTGTTCCGATGCCTAATTGTAATACAGTTGTAAAGATCACTTCACATTCATACTGAGAATGTGAAAAGTAACATTTCAGTGGTTATTTGTATTGTTGTGGGACATTCAAATTCATAATAAAAGTCACACAAATCATCATCTGAGGAGTGAGTGAGTCAACTGGGTTTATCGCTACTTTCAACAGAATTTACGTTCCATATGTACACAGCGTGTCAGTTTAATGTGGGAGGAAACCCCGAAGTAATGTTGGTGTCAGACGTTTACCTCCTTGGTGAAACCCACCAACACGTGTATGGTGCTGACAAAACTCGAACCCACGATCACAGGGTTCTGGTGTGGACAAGGGACGCAACTCCTTACAGCGAATCTCGCCGCCTATAAAGACTGAGCAATGCCCACTACTCCTCAGTTGTTTTTCATAAAATATATGCATGTGATGGATAAAACGCAAAGAGGCGAATGCAACTTTTATAAATGTTTATTATATATTTTGAATAAACTCTTTAATCATATTCAGAAGTTCTTTCAAGAATTACATAACATAATAGCATTACCTATTTCGATCAATTCTTATCATCAAAACTGAACTGGTGTTTAGTTTGATTAAAGATATGTCCTATATCAAATTGTATTTATATGTTTAATGCATATGCTGTTTGGTATGTTTGTGGTTTGTTTCAGTTCCAGGTAGTATTGTATGCAGCTAGAACACGTGTACTGGTTTAATTTTGTTACACTTAAACGCTTCAGGACGCCCATATGGAAACGTTTTGCCATCTTTTAAACATGTCACCTTGATATCCCAATGACAAGTGCTCTCTACACTATATTTCGTTCTATTGATTGGTACAGTCGGTTATAGGTGGATAGTAGACAATGGACTATGGGTAACGGACTGCCTCCGTGGAGTTGTGGTTAGAGCGTCCGCCCGGAGAGCGGGTTCGATCCCCGGTGGCGTCATACCAAAAGACGTTAAAAGATGGCACTTGTTGGTCCCTGCCTGGCGCTCGGCATTATTGGGTATAGCAAGGACTGGTCAGTTCGGAGTCAGTATAATGTGTCTGAGTGGGGTATTCATACTTAACTGTGGCATGTATCTCAGTGATCTAGCACTGTAAAACCAGCCTAAATCTGGGATAGTACAAGCAGCCACGCATACACACGCATGCACGTCGTCATATGAGCGAAATAATCTGAAGTACGACGTTAAACCCCACTTCACCTCACCTCACTATAGGTAATGGTGAGATACAGCGAATAGTTGAGTGTAGTTGATGTCGGTATCAAAGGTACAATCGGGTTCAGCTAAAGGAGAAATGTACATCGGAGAATTGGCTTCAGCCAAAGATGAAACGCGGCTGCAGCTTACAGTGGGATATAGCGGACAATCTGCTACAGCTAACATTGGGATATAGCGGACAATCTGACACATCTAACATTGGGATATAGCGGACAATCTGCTACAGCTAACATTGGGATCCAGCGGACAATCTGCTACAGCTAACATTGGGATCCAGCGGACAATCTGCTACAGCTAACATTGGGACAAAGCGGACAATCTGCGGACAATCTGCTACAGCTAACATTGGGATACAGCGGACAATCTGCTACAGCTAACATTGGGATATAGCGGATAAACTGCTACAGCTAACATTGGGATATAGCGGACAATCTGCTACAGCTAACATTGGGACATAGCGGACAATCTGCTACAGCTAACATTGGGACATAGCGGACAATCTGCTACAGCTAACATTGGGACATAGCGGACAATCTGCTACAGCTAACATTGGGATACAGCGGACAATCTGCTACAGCTAACATTGGGATATAGCGGACAATCTGCTACAGCTAACATTGGGACATAGCGGACAATCTGCTACAGCACAACATTGGGATATAGCGGACAATCTGCTACAGCTAACATTGGGACATAGCGGACAATCTGCTACAGCTAACATTGGGATACAGCGGACAATCTGCTACAGCCAACATTGGGATACAGCGGACAATCTGCTACAGCTAACATTGGGACATAGCGGACAATCTGCTACAGCTAACATTGGCACAGCGGACAATCTGCTACAGCTAACATTGGGATATAGCGGACAATCTTCTACAGCTAACATTGGGATATAGCGGACAATCTGCTACAGCTAACATTGGGACATAGCGGACAATCTGCTACAGCTAACATTGGGACATAGCGGACAATCTGCTACAGCTAACATTGGGACATAGCGGACAATCTGCTACAGCTAACATTGGGATATAGCGGACAATCTGCTACAGCTAACATTGGGATATAGCGGACAATCTGCTACAGCTAACATTGGGACATAGCGGACAATCTGCTACAGCTAACATTGGGATACAGCGGACAATCTGCTACAGCTAACATTGGGACATAGCGGATAAACTGCTACAGCTAACATTGGGATATAGCGGACAATCTGCTACAGCTAACATTGGGACATAGCGGACAATCTGCTACAGCTAACATTGGGACATAGCGGACAATCTGCTACAGCTAACATTGGGATATAGCGGACAATCTGCTACAGCTAACATTTTACAGGGATACAGCGGACAATCTGCTACAGCTAACATTGGGACATAGCGGACAATCTGCTACAGCTAACATTGGGATATAGCGGACAATCTGCTACAGCTAACATTGGGATATAGCGGACAATCTGCTACAGCTAACATTGGGACATAGCGGACAATCTGCTACAGCTAACATTGGGACATAGCGGACAATCTGCTACAGCTAACATTGGGACATAGCGGACAATCTGCTACAGCTAAAGGTGAAATACAGCGAACAGTTGGTAACAGCTGACAGGTTAGTTATACCTAAGGGGTTTCTGAATATTTCCATCAAACCATCAGAAGTTCCATACAAGGAGTTCATAAGATCGAACGCTGCATAATGGATATCCGGGAATGGATGGCTGTCAACTATTTGAAGTTGAACGACAGCAAGACTGAGTTCCTTGCCATAGGCTCACGGCAACAGCTGCAGAAGATGCCACCTGGAATCACGCTCAAGATAGGAACTGAGGATGTGAAGACCTCAAACTCAGCCAGAAATCTGGGAATCATCTTCCAGTCCAACATGTCCCTAGATGAATATGTCAAGTCCCTCTGCAAGTCATGTTTCTTTCACATCTACAACATCGGCAAGATCCTCAACTTCCTAGATACCGAGACAACAAAGCTCCTAATGCAAACACTTCTGTAATCTTCATGGTCTCTCGAACCCCATCGCCATGACCATATATCGCCAGTTCTGAAATCCTTTCACTGGCTTCCAGTAAAGTACAGGATCTACTTCAACATTACTGACTCATAACTGCCTCTACGATGACCAGTCCTGTGACTACCTTTCGCCAGCTTGTACATCTGCATGTACCCACCAGAGCTCTTAGATCAAAAAGATACGTTAAGACTAACATTGGGACAAGCACTAAAACATCAATGGGTGATAGAGCCTTTTCTGTAGCAGCACCAGCTCTGTGGAAATCTTCCAGTCACCCTCGACGAACTGAGTCCCATTCACAATTCAAGAAGCTCAAAACACTTCTTAGATGGCTTCTGAATGGTTTCACACTTATTGTGTTTTTAACGATGTTATGCAGCGCCGTTGAGCATCTATGATGGAAACTAGGCGCTATACAAGCCAATTATTATTATTATTATTATTATTATTATTATTATTATTATTATTATTATTAGTATGTTGCACCGGCTATCCAGAGCTAGCCCACTAACTTGGGCACTAAGATACAATTCAACATTGATACACCACCCAAGACACAGTGATCCGACTCCAAGTCCATTTGTGCTTGATGTATTCCAATAATACATTACACCAGGCAAGGTAATAACAACTACCATGGGTTAACGGCATCTAGCATCGAACCACTTTCCTTCCGCTCTCAGCGAAAAGACTGATACAGGGCAGAGTCGACAACAGGGTAACAGTTAATGCGTAGAGGTGGTCATATGGTTACCGCCGTTATAAAAAATTGAAACATATTGTATTCACATTGATCACATCTGGCATCTATCTCCAGAAACACAAAACAGTTACATGTTCATCGATATATATTTCATACTGAACCATTTAAAAAAATGTGTTTAAAACAAAAACGAAGTACCGTTTCCTTACACAAAAACTACTCGAGAAAATTGGGTCAGGTCTTTGTTTGACGCTCAGTACTGTTACTGTATTATTTGATACTCTGTGTGTCAACACCGATAAGGTAATTTACAAGATCAGGTAAAATTCATGAATGCAGTTGTGTAACGTATACCAATGTAATTGATCCCTCTGTGATACAAGCGGGACAAGCCAACTGTGTAATCTGACTATAGATCAAGTGTTGATTCGGTAACAAGTCGGCTTCTCGTAACAGATTCTCGCCTTGAACATAACATTACCGGTAATTCTGAATTAGTTCAGTTTATTCAAACCGAACTACTGAAATTCAAATTAAAGACCATAGTTTAAAAATATGTTGTTTCAGAAAATACTAAAAAAATATTTTGTCACATGTTTTACAACAGAAAGAAGGAATGAATAGTTGTGCCCCTGATTGTATTAGACGCGGTGG